GAAAACACACTTTTCAACATTACTTGTAATTTTACATTATCTTGCTAAAGTGAGATAATGTAAAATTGAAATATCATAATAATGCAAATAGTTGCAACAACAAAATAATTAAAAAACATAACATAAATTAAGATTTAAATTTCATAGTGACAATTAATCCAACAAACTATCTTTATTCAATGTCAATGTAAAGGTCACTTTTTGGCTTTGAACTATTTATTGTTTGTATCAAACCTATATTTTATTTTACAATTTTTAAATATAACAGAGTGAGTATGTAGAATCTGCATTCAAAAACAAAACATGATTAGATATAGACTGGAAATCAGTATTATTTCAAATTCCAGCAACTTATTGAGTTATAGGCAAAAACAACTTAATTAATAAACTAAGAAACTAGGTTAAGATAGTCTATTTTGTAGAAAGGAAAATTCTTCAAATTTGTCAAAATAGTAAGGCTGTTTCTTACTGTTATCATTAGGCTTTGCACAAATTATAGCTTTTAGTATGCAATAATACTCATAGAAATTTCATATCAAAACTTCATAATTAATAAAATACTATTTCTTTTCAAAAAACTTTTGATGTTATTGTCATGTTACAATCAATTGACAATTATTAGTATTATTAATATATTAATACTATAAAATATAACTATCAGAAAGTTGTGCATAATGTTATAATTCTGCTTATTAATTAATTAATAACATTACTTATTAAAAAAAAAATATTTTATTGATTCTGTAAATGTTTTAGGTTCTGTCACAGCATCAGATTCTTGTATTTCAAATGATCTTAAAATAGTCAAAATGATCAATAAATCAAAGTATTGCCACTTCTTTTTTTAAAAAGAATGGGTTTTTTAAATTAATATTCAACTGAGAAGGAACAGTTTAAAAATGGCTAAATTTAATTATCATCAAGTTAATTGAATGCCATGAAAAGTTAATTTATCAAATGTTCTTGAAAACAATATCATAAAAATTTCTGTAGTACAAGCTCAATAATTAGAATATAAAATTTCTACAATGAAAATAAATTTATCTCTTTACAATTCAAAATGTAATTATTATTTGTATTCTATTATGATAAAATAAGAGATGACTTAACATTGCAAATGCTATCATTATCAATGTTAAAAAATAGACATTTTTAAAGGACACTAGACAAAATAAATTTTTAATGCTTTTAATTTTGAAAATTACATATTANGCTTGGAGAGGTTTGGGTAGAGGGAATTGATATCCTCTGGGACTTTATGAAAAAACTATGGCAGCAGGAGAAGATCCCAGAAGAATGGAGGAAAAGCATTCTGGTGCTGTTCTCTAAAGGTAAAGGAGATGTACAGAATTGCAGAAATTACAAAGATATAAAGTTATTGTCCCATAGTATAAAGATTTGGGAGAAAATTGTAGAAAGATTGATTAGGCAGGAATCTGAGATCGAAGAGGAAGTTTGGTTTTTTGCTGGGAAGGAATATGACTGATGCTATCTTTGCTCTAAAACAGCTGATGGAAAGGCACAGGAAAATGCAGGAAGATTTGCACATGGTGTTCATAGATCTAGAAAAGGCATATAATAGAGTACCAAGGCAACAGGTATAGAGATGTTTGAGGGAAAAGAATGTTCCAGAGAAATATGTTAGGTTTGTCAGGAAAATGTACAAGGGAGCAGAGACCCAAGTTAAGAGCTATGTGGGCACTACAGAAGGGTTCTTCGTTAATGTTGGTTTACATCAGGGATCAGCCCTTAACCCTTATTTGTTTGTAGATAATGGATGTGATGGTGTGTGACGTGAAGTGGAGTATGCAGTTTGTGGATGATACCGTGCTGTGTGAACTTTCCCAAACCAAGGCTGAGAAGAAACTGGAAGATTGGAAGAAAGTTTTGGAAGAAAGAGGCATGAAGATTAGCAGAACTAAAACAGCTTATATGACTCTGAATGGTAGAGAAATTTGTAATATTAAAATCCAAAATGTGCCACTCCCTTTGGTTCTGAGTTTTAAATATCTTGGGACATTTGTCAAGATAGGAGGAGGATTGAACTCAGAACCAATGTATTACTTGAATAAATTAAAAATACAATTAACAATGTAATATAATAAAATATGATCTATATAAATAAATATATACACACACAAATTATATATAAAATGAAAATGATTTGATATATGCTATTCTAAGAAAGTGAATAATGTGAGTTGAGTGGCTGTTCTAAAAATGTGGAATTGTCCTAAGAGTATTTCTTTTTATTTTAATATCATATTTAAAGTCAGGCATTGCCAACAAGTTTATAATAGTGTCATATTTGGTCAAATGTAGATAGCATAGCCTGCTAAAACAAGAAAAACATTTGTAATTTTTATTTTTATTTCTAATTTCATACTTTCCACAGAGAAATTTTTGTAACTACTGCTGTAATTTGATAGATGTACTATGTGAGATAATACATGGTTAGCCTTTGTTTCAGATTATAGCATAATAAAAAAACTGGTTGAGTAGATAAGAAATATGTTCTTGTATGGATGATCATAGCTACAAAATGTTGTTATTAATATTTTAGAAACTGCTTTTGTTGTTTCTTTAACAACTGCAGTTTTATGCAAAATGGGTAAACCCAAGTAAAATTTATTATTTCTGTGCTAAAGAAAAAATTGAATACTTTTGGTTAAAGTGAAAAATAAATACTGTTGTTTAATTTATAATGCATCAGTAATTTTATTTAAAAAAATCATTTAGAACATAGTTATACTTTTGTGAATTTTTTGTCTCTTTAATCCTTTTGGTAGACTATCTCACAGCAAAGGTTAATAAATTCATTTATTAGTTTTCACATATGCATTTCGAACCGGTGTAACATTTCGGTTCCTCTTCAGTGTTCTCTAAGGGTTTTACACATTTCTTACTTCATACAGTTGGATCGTTACTTACTAAAACACCAGTACAAGGAGTAAAAAGTAATATGATGAAATTATCGCTTTTCTTTTGGTTTAATATGCTTTGAAAAACAATCCATATTTTTAGATTTGGGTTCGCAATAATTAAACATTTAAAGTGGCAAAGATTACGCAAACTGAGACAAAAAATTCACAAACGATTAAATACAGCTATAACCAGAATATTCAACATAGTTATACTTATTTATTTCACTTTTAATTATGTTTTGTGGCATAATTTTATTTTACAAGGATGGCAAACCTAGTAAAATTTGATTGAAGAAAGGAAAATGTGGTGGTAGGTTAATGGTATTTTTGATTATACCCTACTATAAGTCAGCCAAACCTATTTTAAATGAAGTGAGTATCAAAATTTTAGCAAATAAAAATTTTATTTACCTCTGAATCTGCTTGATGTTTTAACTTTGTTGCCTCATTTAAATACTTTGAGTGATCGTATTCATGGCTAAAATTTAATAATTTTATGAATTATTTATATTAATTAGTTATAAATAATAAAAATTATATAATTTTACACACATTAAGTACTGTATTAAATTTATTATTAATTTTCATAAAGCAGAGAAATAAAGATGAAAGAAATCATATTTCATGGTTAAAAATTTTATCAGATTATGAAACAAACATGTAATTATAATGAAAATAATTTTCTTAGTGGGTTATTTCTGCAATTTAACTTTCTGTATTTTATTAGCAATAAATTTTAGTTTAGTAAACAAATGGTTATTAATCTGTAACACCCACTATATAACTTACTCTTCAAATATATTGAAGATTATGATAAGAAAAATATATTAGACTGCAGAATGAATCAAACTTTTGTCTTTCAATGTAATGTCAAGATATGTATTTTTCATTTTATTATTCTCATTTTCTTCAAACATTTTTAAAACAATGATCAATATTTCAATTTTATTTCCATTATAACTTTCATAAAAATTGTATGTACAGTATATTACAAAAACATTTACAGTTAAGAGAAAAATTCTCCTTTTATTTGCATCATCTCAAATAACAGTTAATAAAGTTTGTTTCTAACCACAATGCAAGAAGAAATTTATTTATTTATTTTGAATACATGAGGCAAAGTCATTTGTGATTTATGACAATCACTCCTAAGAAAAACAATACAAAAGAAATCCACTTAAAACACAATATTTTGATATGGGTAATATCTTTTAAAATGCAGTAATTTTGCTAATTAAAATGCTTTTTATACAATAAGTTTTACATTTTTTTTTGTATTTTACTTGTTTTATCTTATCAGTCATCATTAACTGGTTTATAAATCAATTTATGAATATTCAGAATTATAAACAATTGCATGTGGTAACAAATTTTACTCCTAACTGTTATTGAAATTAGCCTCAACACTTCTATACACTGTTACTCTTTCCAGTAAATTGTTACTTTTATCTAATTTTTTTTTATAATATCCAAACAAAAATATATATTCCATACAAAGTAACAACATCAACTTATAACCTGATTTAAATAATTAACACCAAATGATCAGCTAAATTATTTGATTATGTTTTTGACTTTGTTAATGATTAGTTACTAATTAATTTGNTTTCGAACCGGTGTAACATTTCGGTTCCTCTTCAGTGTTCTCTAAGGGTTTTACACATTTCTTATTTCATACAGTTGGATCGTTACTTACTAAAACACCAGTACAAGGAGTAAAAAGTAATATGATGAAATTATCGCTTTTCTTTTGGTTTAATATGCTTTGAAAAACAATCCATATTTTTAGATTTGGGTTCGCAATAATTAAACATTTAAAGTGGCAAAGATTACGCAAACTGAGACAAAAAATTCACAAACGATTAAATACAGCTATAACCAGAATATTCAACATAGTTATACTTATTTATTTCACTTTTAATTATGTTTTGTGGCATAATTTTATTTTACAAGGATGGCAAACCTAGTAAAATTTGATTGAAGAAAGGAAAATGTGGTGGTAGGTTAATGGTATTTTTGATTATACCCTACTATAAGTCAGCCAAACCTATTTTAAATGAAGTGAGTATCAAAATTTTAGCAAATAAAAATTTTATTTACCTCTGAATCTGCTTGATGTTTTAACTTTGTTGCCTCATTTAAATACTTTGAGTGATCGTATTCATGGCTAAAATTTAATAATTTTATGAATTATTTATATTAATTAGTTATAAATAATAAAAATTATATAATTTTACACACATTAAGTACTGTATTAAATTTATTATTAATTTTCATAAAGCAGAGAAATAAAGATGAAAGAAATCATATTTCATGGTTAAAAATTTTTGAAAATCATCAGATTATGAAACAAACATGTAATTATAATGAAAATAATTTTCTTAGTGGGTTATTTCTGCAATTTAACTTTCTGTATTTTATTAGCAATAAATTTTAGTTTAGTAAACAAATGGTTATTAATCTGTAACACCCACTATATAACTTACTCTTCAAATATATTGAAGATTATGATAAAAAAAATATATTAGACTGCAGAATGAATCAAACTTTTGTCTTTCAATGTAATGTCAAGATATGTATTTTTCATTTTATTATTCTCATTTTCTTCAAACATTTTTAAAACAATGATCAATATTTCAATTTTATTTCCATTATAACTTTCATAAAAATTGTATGTACAGTATATTACAAAAACATTTACAGTTAAGAGAAAAATTCTCCTTTTATTTGCATCATCTCAAATAACAGTTAATAAAGTTTGTTTCTAACCACAATGCAAGAAGAAATTTATTTATTTATTTTGAATACATGAGGCAAAGTCATTTGTGATTTATGACAATCACTCCTAAGAAAAACAATACAAAAGAAATCCACTTAAAACACAATATTTTGATATGGGTAATATCTTTTAAAATGCAGTAATTTTGCTAATTAAAATGCTTTTTATACAATAAGTTTTACATTTTTTTTTGTATTTTACTTGTTTTATCTTATCAGTCATCATTAACTGGTTTATAAATCAATTTATGAATATTCAGAATTATAAACAATTGCATGTGGTAACAAATTTTACTCCTAACTGTTATTGAAATTAGCCTCAACACTTCTATACACTGTTACTCTTTCCAGTAAATTGTTACTTTTATCTAATTTTTTTTTATAATATCCAAACAAAAATATATATTCCATACAAAGTAACAACATCAACTTATAACCTGATTTAAATAATTAACACCAAATGATCAGCTAAATTATTTGATTATGTTTTTGACTTTGTTAATGATTAGTTACTAATTAATTTGACTAGAGGTAAGCAGATATGCTGCCACCTCATATTAATTTTAATAATTATAATGAATTAATTTTTAATTTAAAAATTTCTGGAAGAAAAGAATCTGGCCGAAGCAAGACTCAAACTACAACTTCTGCTTACATCATCAAAAAGTTTTTAATTCTTTGATGACAAAATCTATTATTAGATGAAAAATTCTTTCATCTAATAATAGATAAAATTATAATGAAATTATTATTATTAAATAAACACATATTTTCAGGCATTTTACTGTTATAGAGAAAGTGGTTATAAAGAAATATTATCTAAAGATTTTCTGAAAAGACAGCAACAAATCTGAAAAGCAATAAAGATTTTAAACATTTATAATACAAAGAATAATTATAGAAAAAAAAATTGTTGCTGTTGGAATATGAAATATAAAAAAATTATTTATTTCTGGATAAACACTGTATAGACCAATAAAATTTTATGGTGAAAATATAAATATTCAAAATATAAAAATCAAAAATTATTTTTGCCAAATTTAAGAGAAAAATTAAAGTCAAAAAAGAAAAATCCTTCAGATTCAAAATTTTAGACCTTAATATTTTTCTTTTAATATCACAGGATAAATTAAAATATAAATTTTAATTCAAAAAACTTTTGTATTCTTTCTTATGGATGCCAAGAGAGTCTTTACTTCATATGCATTGTATGGTCCAAAGTAAGATAGCTGAATGAAGATGGATTGCATCTGACATATCCAGCTAAAATAAGTATGAAAAATTCCCAAGGATATGAGTTAAACTTAAACTCAAAATCAGAGCAGTAAGCAGTAGTGATGCATTAAATTGTTAATTTTAATCAATGGCTGAGTATCAGTATTGATATGTCCAATACTCATTAAATACTTGTAATGTAGAATGATATAATTTCCCACTAGATTCAAAAGAATTTAAATTACACAAAATATCTTGAGGCTACTTTGACTTTAAATTATTAAAACTAATCCAAATTTCTATTATATTTTCTAATTTCCCTAAAATTCCTTCATATTTCTAACACAGATTTCATACGCTAAAAATTGGAATATATTTTGTAAACAGTTGACAGCAATTTATCACTTGCTGTTAACTGTTAGCAGATAATTTGTTGGGCTGGACTACAACAAATTCAGAGTTAATTCAGGGATTAAGATATTGTTAAAAATATATTAATATATAAAGTAAATTAGAGTGTTATATTTCTTTGAAATATTAAATTATAAAATCAAGTATAAAACTGCAATTCACAGAAAACATGTAAGGGTAAACAATAATCAATATTTATTCATTAGTCTCAACACAGCATAATGAAATTCCAAAATTAACAGTAATAAATGGTTTAAAAAAGAGTATTCAGTATTTTGAGTTCTATGTGTACTGGATACAAAAATTTATGAGTTCTTAATATTCACATAACACTAGAAGTAGATACTTTTTGTAACCAAAGGTACAAAAAGTATTAAATATTAAAACTACAGCAGTATTAAATTTATTAAATACTTACCCATTCGCCTGTTTTGGAGGATGAGACCAATTATTACACGAGTTTTCCCAATCTGCAGTTTCGTCTTGACTAATATTTACACATTCGTCTTGTCTACTGTTATCTCCGTATTCAATACTTTCTGGTTTATAACCAACCTGATAATAAAACAAAATTATGTTATGAATTAGAAAATTATATAAATGTTTTACTAAATTTTTTTTCTAGTAATAGAATAGAAATAATAAAAAAGTTAGACTTTAAAATTGCTTTGAAAAATCTTTTCTTTATAGAATTGTAAAAATCCAAAGTTTGATAAGTATGATATTAAAAAATTTGTTAAACATAAGCATTAAAGGCTTTAGATAGCATCTTACCAAAACCAAATTCTAGGAATTATTACAAAAAATATCACAATATTTCCTCAATTCTAAGACACACCATAAATTTGGAATTAAATTTCGAGATGTTTTTTAATGGAAGGAAAGTTTTTAAATAGTTTTATTATTGTTAAATAACAAAGTATGAAAAATGATACAAATTTCATGAAACAAGTAATGACTGGCAGCTCTAGTTCCAGATGCTTCTGCTTTTTAATGTTATCTTGAAACATGCATTTTAAATATTGAAAATAAGTTTAAATTAAACACTTGTAATCAACAAGGATTGTTTGAACTAACGCGAGCATTGAGCAATATAGATGAAAAAGTCTATTACTGATGCATAATGCATCACATGGTGACTTCTGACTGTTGCTTTTATAGTAAATTTTGGATTAATGGGTAAAAAAGCATGTCTTAGAATCAACAAAATTCAATATTATAAAAATATTTAGTAGAAAATTTATTAATTTTTTTGAAAGATGCAGAAACTCTTTATAACTGATTGTAAAATGCTAAATGTAATTGAACAAATCATTTTTGTATCATTTTTTTCAAAAATTCTTAACACCATTTGTAAATGCTCAACTCATAAGCATGTTGTAATAGGACTTCAGATTCAAATTATTTAATGGATGCACAAAATTGTTAGAAAAAAAAAAAAAAAAAGCTAAATTCAGGAACCAAAACAAATTTTATTCATGAATGTTTTCGTCTGTTAAAAGATCATCATCGGCTTGGTGATTTACAAAGCATTTTAGAACAATTTTATAAACTGTAATATTCACTTCTTTATTATTACATAAATCGAAGAAAATTGATAAGATTACTAAAATAATACAAAATTTAGACTAACAATTAAAAACTTCAATAGTTTTATAAATATTGATAAAAATTTTAACATGTCTGTAGTAACAGTGATCAAAAAATATATAATTTTAATAATGCCTATTTAAAATTTAAAACAAATTGATAAATGACTCACAGTATGGACCTAAGAAAGAAAATTAACACAGATTTATTTATTATGGCATTAGAAATTTGATATTCCTGTTTGTTTCAGATTTTGTCTGTAATACGATGGTGATTATTATTTTCGAATTTGAATAGAATGGAGTTTGATAACCATTGTGGTTTGAATATATATATATATATTTAGCCTTAGAACAAACAGGGTTGGCATCAGGAAGGGTATACAGCCATAAAGCCTATGCCAAAACTATATGGAAGTAAGCTATAACTGTATTAGAACATCCCACTGAAGTGATAAGCAGTCATGTCACCCGAAAACTATGTCAAATAAGCTGGGGCTACCGAACCAAGAACAGGTTAGGATAAATAAGTTAGTCCAGAAAGAGAAGAGGAAGAAGACAAGTATAAGAAAAGGTACTTTAAACATCAGAACATTAAATAGGAAGAGTAGAGTTGGTGGATCTTATGCAAAGAAGGAGAGTGAACATTTTGTGCCTGCAAGAGACAAGATGGAAAGGAAATAAAGCTAAAGAAATTGGTGAAGAGTACAAGCTGTTTGTAAATGGAGCAAATAAGGGAGGAAGGAATGGAGTTGGTATCATAATTGATAAAGTTCTAAAAGACAGTATCTGTGAGGTTAAACAAAGGTGTGATAGAATTATAAGTGTTAAGTTGGACATTGGTAGAATTTTCATTATAATTGTATGTGTGTGTGTATGCTTCTCAGCCAGATAGTGGAGAAGAAGAAAAGACAAACTTTTAGACAGATCTTGACCAAGTTATAATGTGTGTTCCTATGAACAAGAGATTAATCTGTGGAGGCAATTTAAATGGTCATGTTGGGAAGAGGAAAAATGCAGAAAGAAGAGTTCTTGGGAGGTGGAGTGTGGGAGAAAGGAATGGAAAGGAGAAAGACTAGTTGATCATGCTGTGGCTTTTGACCTTGCGCTAGTTAACACCTACTTTGAGAAGAAAGCGAACCAAATGGTTACATACATGAGTGGAGGTAGATCCAGCCAGATTGATTTTTTCTTGTGCCGCAGGAGACTTGAGAAATAGTAAGGTGTTAAATGGAGAAAGTGTTGCTGCACAACATAGAGTCCTCCTGGTGTATTGTGACTTTCTTATGGGCCATTGTAAGAATTGTGTTAGCCAGATTGAACAAAGGATCAAATGGTGGAGATTGAAAGCAGAGGAATTAAGGAAAGAGTTTAAGGTAAAAGTGTTAAAAAAAATCCAGTTTCTGGATGATGTGCAAAAATGGTGATTGCTGAATAGTAATTGCATCTTGAAAGTTTTGGGAAAAACTTCAGGGAAGAGATCACCAGAAGGAAAGGAACTTTGGTGGTGGAATGCTTATGTACAGTACAAGCCGCAGTTAACAAAAGAAAGAGGCAAAGAAAAGGTAGGATTTGATGGAAAGATAAAGAAACTTACCATTTGGCAAATAAAATGACTAAAAAGGTGGTGGCTTTTGAAGAGGCTTATAAAGTTTTCAAAAGGAAAGGTGGTGAAAGGCAGTTGATAAGAATTGCCAAAGCAAGAGAAAGGGCATCAAAAGATTTTACCTCTATTAAACTGATTAAAGATGATAAAAGAGTGGTATTACAAGATTACAAAAGGGTCAAGGAAAGACGGAAAGAATATTTTAGGAATTTATTGAATGAAGAATACCCCAAAACTTTATACGAAAATGGAGAAGCAAATGAAGAAGTGGTGCAAAATATTAGCAGAGAAGAAGTGGAAAGTGTGCTTAGGAAAATGAAGATGGGGAAAGCAGTGGGTACTGATCAGATTCTGGTTGAGGCTTGGAGAGGTTTGGGTAGAGGGAATTGATATCCTCTGGGACTTTATGAAAAAACTATGGCAGCAGGAGAAGATCCCAGAAGAATGGAGGAAAAGCATTCTGGTGCTGATCTCTAAAGGTAAAGGAGATGTACAGAATTGCAGAAATTACAAAGATATAAAGTTATTGTCCCATAGTATAAAGATTTGGGAGAAAATTGTAGAAAGATTGATTAGGCAGGAATCTGAGATCGAAGAGGAAGTTTGGTTTTTTGCTGGGAAGGAATATGACTGATGCTATCTTTGCTCTAAAACAGCTGATGGAAAGGCACAGGAAAATGCAGGAAGATTTGCACATGGTGTTCATAGATCTAGAAAAGGCATATAATAGAGTACCAAGGCAACAGGTATAGAGATGTTTGAGGGAAAAGAATGTTCCAGAGAAATATGTTAGGTTTGTCAGGAAAATGTACAAGGGAGCAGAGACCCAAGTTAAGAGCTATGTGGGCACTACAGAAGGGTTCTTCGTTAATGTTGGTTTACATCAGGGATCAGCCCTTAACCCTTATTTGTTTGTAGATAATGGATGTGATGGTGTGTGACGTGAAGTGGAGTATGCAGTTTGTGGATGATACCGTGCTGTGTGAACTTTCCCAAACCAAGGCTGAGAAGAAACTGGAAGATTGGAAGAAAGTTTTGGAAGAAAGAGGCATGAAGATTAGCAGAACTAAAACAGCTTATATGACTCTGAATGGTAGAGAAATTTGTAATATTAAAATCCAAAATGTGCCACTCCCTTTGGTTCTGAGTTTTAAATATCTTGGGACATTTGTCAAGATAGGAGGAGGATTGAACTCAGAGGTGCAGCATAGAATTCAATGTGGATGGATAAACTGGAGGAAGCTGAGTGGTGTGTTATGCGACGAGAAAGTTAGCTGCAATCTGAAAGAAAAATTCTATAAATCAGTTGTTAGACCTGCAATGTTATATGGAGCGGAGACAAGGGCAATAACAAGCGCCCAAGAAAGATGGAAGTGGCGGAAATGAGAATGTTGAGATGGATGTGTGGCGTGTCAAGGAAGGATAGAATAAGGAATGATTTTATTAGAGGTTCTGTTAAGGTGGGCACCTTACGCAAAAAGATGCAAGAATGCAGGTTGAGGTGGTTTGGCCACGTAGAGCAAAGAAGCAACAATTATGTTGGAAAAAAGATTGAAAAACTGGTAATAAAAGGAAAGAGGAAAAGAGAAAGACCAAAGATATGTTAGAAAGATAAGGTGAAAAAAGAGTTGAACCCGAGAGGACTTAAGAGAGAAGAAGCCCTTGATAGGGAGAAATGAAAGAAACGTATTAGAGAAGGAAACGCCGATCCCATATAAACATGGGAAAAGGTGAGGATAAAGAAAGATGATGGTGATTATTATGTAAAATTCAGTAAATTAAACTGATCACAGTTGGATTACAGACATTTGAAAAGTTTTCAAAAGATTTTCCTATTATAACGTGCAATTTATTTTCTAATTATAATAGAATCCCAATAATTCAGATTAATGTGAAAGAGGATACCTCAGAATAACAAAATCTCAGATAATGCAAAATATTTGATTAATAAGTGATCAACAAAATATAAGAATACTGTTATAAAATCAAAGTTTTATAATGATTATGATTAAGATTTCTTTAATCTTTCAACAACTTCTAGAGCTCTACTGTCCAACACCTGTCGAAATCTGTATTCTATTATGTTCTTGTCTTTGTTGAGAAAGAATTCTTCTATAATTCATCTCAGGTAATTCAGAGAACCTTGATTAATTGTGATTCTATAATACTTTCTGTTTTAATTTAAAACTTTGTGATTCAACATTAAAATAAATCACTATATGTTTTCAGCAGGGTAACAGATCTACAAACATTTCAAAGAATTTAATTTAAAAATTATCATTTGATATTTTTGTAGAAATTAAGTTCTAAATAACTAAATAATAACAAAAAACGATGCTATATATCAACTTCAGAAAATGTATTGAGATCATTTCTATCAAAGAAAGTTTTAAATCAAACCATGAACCAGATTTTTATGATAGGTATTTTAAAAATATAATAAAATAACATATCTACGTTTAATAAAGTTAATATTAATGTTCATTTAACTGAAAATTTTACTGATAAATACAAATATGAAAATTAAAATCAACTTACTTGACTAGAAGTAAGTTCATTTTCATGAGATGTTTCACTTTTTTGTTGCTTATTTTCACTTTTTTTATCTTTATTATTATTAATAATAATAATATTATTGTTATTACTATTAATATTATTATTATTATTGTTGTTGTTGATGTTGCTGCTATTCTGTTCCTCTACTGTTTCCTTCTTAACTTTGTGTTTTGTAATTTTTTCTTCTTTACTTTTAGTTGCTTTCTGTACATTATGTTTTCCTTTCTGTTCTGGTTGTTCACTTTCTTTAATTTTCCTTTCTTTTTTGTTTTTATTTACACTTTTTTCTTTTTTGTGTACTGCACTTCTGTGACTTTGTTGACTTGAAAATGAGCACACACTACCTGGACTATCACATGACTTTGGAGTAGTTTTAACTACTTCCCACTGTTCTTTTTCAATCAATTTTCTAAATTTATAAAAAAAATATAATTTAATTATTCAGAAAGTATTAAATTTGTAAGTTTAAAATAATAAATACTTAGTATAGACACAAAAATTCAATTTAACATTGCTACTATACGTCTACAATGCAAGTCTGAAAAACTTATTTTTATTTATTAACTTATGATCTAAGTCAGCTGTTCCCAACCTTTTTCAGTTTTCATACCCTTTGGCAGCCATTTTCCTAAGTTTTATTTCATGTGTTTGTCAAACAGTGGTGACTTGGTCAATTATACAGCACTGTACAATAACATGTAAAAAAAGTTTTTTTTTTAATCAAAAAGGATTGGAGGAAAGACACAGGTAATAATGTATCAATACTTTTTCCCAGATAATGGATCTAGTATTGCTATATTTTTTACAGACAGGTAAAAAAATCCAGATAAGGTCTACCCGAAACCAGATTTTGCAACCGAATCAGAAGCTGAAATGGAATTTTACACTACTTTTGGTTAAATTAAACTTATGTAAAACATATTAACAACCAAAAATCAATAAATGTATTGTGTTCAATTTCATTTCCAGAATCTATATATGCTAATTTAGATGTGTATTTATACATGTAGATAAATATTTAGTTAAACATTACCTAACAGTTTTGTTTGTTAATCAACTCGGACCATCAGTGATGTTTAAAATGAGCTACAGTTTGTACATATACTTGTTTGTACTGACATTTGTAAAATTTGAACACAATAAAGAATTTTCATTGTACAAACACTGTTTTACTTCTTCCCCAATGATTTTTTATCCACCACTATCCCATGTATAGTAGTATCCACAGAGCCCATTAACAGCACTGTACATCTGGGGCTTCTTTTGTGTACATAAGACATCTTACTAATGTAAACTGAAGTACTGACTGATGAACCAATTTCTGACCTAGATAGCATGGATTTAATTTTCTGGAATAAGCAAATAATATTAATTGCTGCTCTATGGCCCACTTGGCCTTCATTGTAGTGAGTATAGTACACCTATCACCCTTTATGCAGTCAACTTTTATGCGATTTTGAAATAATATGGTAAACAAAAAAAAATCCTTTTTTTACATAATTGGTTTTTACATGGGAAAAAATAGTTTATTTGAAAATTTAACTTAATTTTAATTGTATTATTGTTAAGAAAAGTTACTTTTTTGTTGAAATCAAAAGTTAATTTATCTTTTTTAAGCATAGAACAGTACTATATGTATACATCAGAGAATGCTGCATGTCAATTTTGTTTCCTATGTTACTTTGTGTTTACTATATATACATACAAATAATGTTAATAACAATGATGTTAAAATAAAAAAAGCTCATGTTTCTTTTGTAAATTGCTTATTTTTCGTTCCATTGAAGTCGTGGATCCTATTGAGCATTTTCCTAAGGGATGCATGTACTGTATATTTGCACACAATTTTTTTTTCACAGTGTTCTTTGGAATATATCCACCATGAAAAAAGAAGGATATACATAACTTCTCAGCAGTAAAATCAACTGAAAGGCAATGTGACAGACTGAACAACAACAAACAGTTCAATACTGATACCGATACTGGTTGGTATTGATACTTTCAGGCAAATACCAATACTGATATTGATAGTTTAAAACTACTCATGATATCGGTATCAATACTTTTGTGGTATCAGGACATCCCTAGACACAAAAGGACAGATTTAAATAAAAATATAATTATATTTTAATTATAACTAAGCATTGAGTGCTGTGATTTCGCCAAAGGACTCAATGCAGAATTCAAATATTCTTATAGTACATCTGCCATTATTAAATTTTTTTCACATATCCCTAAACTATCAAGCACATATCCATGGCTGAGAAACGCTAATCTAAGTTAATCTAAACAAGCAGCTCTTAATATGTGAGTATGTTTCAAGAAGCTACAATGGTTCAAACATAATCTTTCAAAATATATTAAATTATATATGATAATTATATGACTAGATAATTAATTGTGATCAATTATTTCTCATTGTTAACAAGTTCGTTCTGTTTGAATTTTGACCTTTAACTATCTAATAAATTAGATATAGGGTCACAAATCTCATGAAAGTAAAACAGTAAAACTAATAAACTGTAAGCATAACTTTCAAAATAGACTATTGAATATATACAGAATAGTAAAAAAATTAATTAAAATATATATCTTTAACAATAAAAATTAAAAATATGTTAATTTTTTATATTAATATAAATTTAACTTACTCAGTTTTTGGTAAAACTGGCTCTTTTGGACTGGAAGACTTTTCAATTATTTTCTGTTTTTTACTTTTGAGTTTATCTTCGTCTTTTTTACGTTTACCTGAGGTCTTATTTACTTCAACTTTATTATTTTTAAGTGAAGAACAATCATTCTGAATAACATCTTTTATACATTCATTCTTAATGCTTGTATGATGTTCAGTTTGTTGATATTCATTATATTCATTAGATAAATTTATATGACTATTTTCTAATTTACTTTTTTTCTCTTGGGTTTTCTTTTCAGAGGATGGTAATCTATCTATAAGCTTTAAATCTATACTGACCACAACAGAATTTTTGTTTTCTTGATTTTGATACTTTTCAGGATTGCTTAACATTTCAGAATTTGTTATTCCAATTCTAATTGGTTTCACAACAGCAACATTTTTTGAACTTAAATTATCAAAATTTGTTAATTTATCTGTTATTTCTTCAGACGTAAGGCCCCTAATTAATTCATTTTGTGATGTATCACTATGATTGTCATAATTTTGTTTTTCTGATTTTGATTTTCCTTTGTTGTACTTTCCGCTAAAATTTTCTGAATCAGTAAGACTAGTTTTGAAAGGAGAATTATTAATATTATATGATGATGATGATGGAGGTAATGGTTTTTCAATATTGCTATTATCTGAATCAGAATCATTTGGACTGTCTAAAATAAATTCTTTTGATTTAAATTTTTGTAATTTCCCTTTCTTTTTAATGCTATTTTCACTTTCTTTTGAAGCTTTTTGTTCTTCTAGTTTTGGCAAATCTTTGGCTAATTTATTGTTCTGATCAATCTTTTTTGTACTTGATCGTTTGGATTCTTTAGTTGTTAAGTTTCCAGTTAACTTACTCCCTTTTTCTTTCTTCATTTTTTTATTACTCTTCTCTTTCTTTAATTTATGCTTTTTAAACTTTTCATTATGAGTCTGTATGGGATCAGAAAGTATAATATCACCAACTGTAACATTTGATAAATTTTCTAACGAACCAGTTTCTTCAACAGCCGTTTTAACCGAATTTGACACAGACCAAGTCGACTCATTTCTACAAGAATTATCATACAAATCTTCTGAAAAATGATTACTTGAACCGACATCTTTCCTTCTTTTCTTAGGTTTTTTAGTTTTTGTACTTTTACTATCAGTATGAACAGATTCAACTTGGTTATACTGATTTCTATTAGAAATTTTGCTCTCTTCAAAACTATTACTAATTGAGACAGGAGAACCACAGACAGAATGAATTGGAGAACAAATAAATAATTTTTGTTGAGCAGCAGTACCTTCAAAATCTGGTAACTGGTATGAACTGAAAATAAATAAAAAAACATTATATTAATATTTAAATTTTAAACAAAAAAAAAGTACTATTAATTCTCAGATATTATAACAATATGGCTTCAAAATTTTTTGCAAGAATTTTTGATAATGCCCATTAGAAAAATTTTGATTTCAGACCAATTTTATAATATTCTGCTCTTTTTAGAATAAGACAGCAGCAAATTTATTATTTAATAATTATACATAAACAAACATTTGTGGATTATATTTTCTGAAAATATGTTAAATTCTTCACTGAAATTATTTTTAGTGATGAATTTATCATTCACATTTTTAAATATAAGTTTAGAAAATAAATATATTTTAATAAATATCACACAGTATTTATCAAAAATAAAACTTTTAAATTTCTGAAAAGATAACAAATTTAACCATCTGTCAGGCACAATATAAAACCGTAAAGATGATGGCATAATTTATCAAATTTATCATTTTTAATTTTTGATTATTAAGAAAATATTTCATGAATTCTTACAGTTAATTAGAAATATTATTTCTGATATATTGTTTAATTTAAAATCATTACCATTATTAGAAAACCAATAACAAAATACAACTTAACAAATTAATTTTATTAGTTTCATTCTACTCACATAAATTTCATTCTACTTTTCCATGGAAAAATAAAAAGTACATGTATAGAATTAATTTATCTGTATTTTTTATATTAAGAATATAATTTTCTTCATTTACTATTTATACTATTATAACATTTATTATGCTTCATTATGTTTATACTGTATGTTGTACAAAAATCTTTTGCGTGTGATAAATAAATTGCTTTTTCACATTTTTTGCATTTATATTTTGTTAGTAGCTTTTTATTAAATGATAACATTGCCGTCATTACATCCTTTTCTTTTTTTTACTTGTTTTTGCATTCAATTTTACCCACTTATTCAATTCTATTGCTTGTAATATGATACTAATTTCTACATAATAATATTGGTTTTGAAGGATTTTAACTCTAAAAAGTAATTAATGTAAGTATTATTTCATTTTAAATTTTCAGTATATAATAGGAAGAAGTTCAATATATCAAAATGATATAAAAGAGAGAGTGCTATGTAGTTTAAAAGTTTTTGAAATTTTAGGAATTAAAGTCAGCATCAAGAATGAGAAAAATAAAGCTACTAATAAGTAGGCATGACAACAGTTTTCCGTTAAGAAATGACAATTCAAAATGTGCATGGTGTATCAAATTGATTAAATGCTATGGAAGGTTAATTGAAATTTGTTTACTTACAGCTGTATACTGAACTTTTGTTACTTCACATTAAATTAAGTAATAATTATTATATAATCTGTACAATTTCTGAAATCATTATAAGAATTTTCTTCTTATATATATTATCTAGAAGTTTTTTTATGACAAAAATTATAAATTATAACTGAAATTGCTAATCATTAGAATAAAATTTTATTTCTCTGCTCTCTAATGAACAAATGTTTCTAACATTAAAAGGTATAAACTATTAGTTAATAAAACTTAGATGTAAAATACTATCTATACATTGCAATCTATAATTTATCAGATGTAATTTAATACCATCTTGAACCTATCAATGTCAGACTATCAGTTTATCATGATTATATTCTTGATGAATTCTGCAGAAAAATATTATCTAAAAATTTTGGTTTCAATTGTTTGTTGGTCTGTTTATAATAAAAAATAACTGTAACTTAAATGGAAGCAAAGGATTTTTATCCATAATGAGTTATTATTAAAATCTCAAAACAGTATCATAATTTAATAAACCTTGTGTTTAGTCTATTTCCGATCAACTCAATAATAACACAACATATTTACAGTAATTCGTAATAAATCAAATTTTGTAGATTTGTTTTAAAAATCTACAAAATTTGATTACAATAGGAAATTAATTTAATTAAAATATAAATTTATCAAATTTAATTTTTTAAAGAAATATTTAATCATCAACAGTTCAATAACATAATAAATAAATATTACTAATAATATATAAATACTATCAATATTTCTTAATCTGCCATTTAATATTAATGTTTCACATGATTGAGATTAAACAGAAATTTTGTTATAATTAATGAGATTATATATAATTTGTTTAATGAAAATGTTATAGAAAGTTTTAAATTTCATGGTTTTTGTTTGTGTGATGAAGCTTATAAACTATGATACAGATACAACCTCCTTAAGTTAGAAAATATTAAAGACTAAAAGTATTTATATGTATTTTTTCACAAGTCTAACGTAAAGACAATATTTAATTTCTATAATTATTTTCAAAAGTTTATTGTACAGAAATAACAGTCTATTTTTTCCACTATGTCTTAAGAAATATTGAAAAACAAAATGTGAAAATATTATAATTCAAATAATTTTGTTAACAATTGTTACTACTTCAATCTATATTAATGAGAGAGGTTACTTCAATTCATAACAGAAATATAATAGTTAACTAACTCAAATTAAATAATGTATTTTTATGTTTAGAAAAAGTATAGGAAACTGTTTGTAATAATATTGTATTACCCTGAAGTAATGGGAAAATAATCTTTTATATAATAAAAGCTGATTAATTGATTGATTATTATATAAATACAAATTTAATTCTTATCATTTACCTTTTTGTGACTTCTTTATCAAAAAATTTCCTTTTTGTTTCATCTGTGTTTATTGTATTTTCTTTTTCTCCATCCCTATTCTGTTGATTCAAAACCTCTGCTGTATCTTTACTTCTTTGAAGAGTATTATTACAGTCATTGCCAAATGAGCTTTCTATGTGCCAATCTTCTGAATTCTAAAATATCAAGCAATGTAAATTAATTTGTTATAAATTCACTTAAGAATTATTTGTAATTATTTATATAAAATATACAATCAACCAATAAAGTATTATAAACACAAAATAAATTAAATGCTTTAATCATAAATAGAATAATTCTTATCTAATAAAATGTAATTAGGAATCAGAATTCCAGCGATCACACATGAACATGATAAAAAAACCAACTTGAATGAATAGATAGACTACAGCAATGGATTTACTGATACATGAATTAAATAGCATAATAATAGTACAGAAGGTCTAAAAAAAAGTAATTTCAAAGTGCTGTACTTCAAATTTCTTCTCATAAAATATATGATTACTTTTTAAATGAAACATCTTAATGTGGATAAATATTAAGCATGAGAGACCAGTTTCCATGTTGTCATGCTATACTGTTGAAGATGTCCTCCTTCAATTCATATGTATGAAATTACATGACCATAAAAACGATAAATATCAAAATCTCTAAATGTATGTAAAACTGAAATTGACAAAATAAATTCTCTCTATACCTCTATATTACAAATAAAAACAAATTAATGCTTTATAATGCTTAAAATTTAAATTTAGCACTAATTAAATTATATATATATTTTTTTATAATATGGAAACTTAACAAATGCATTCCATGTAGAAATATCTCAAAATATTTTTCATTACTATAGTTCATTAAACACACTCATCTCTAAGGCCAAACAATGTACTATATTATATATCAAGTTAATATTTAATTATTAAATAGTAACCAAATATAAGTAATTTGGCCTACAGGTAGGCAGCAATATTGCCATCTCTTGATAAATTTAGTAATTATAAATAAATTAATATTTAATTTTTAATTTAGAAAGTTCTAGAAGAAAAGAATCAGCCCAAAGCGAAACTCAAACTTGCATCTCCTGCTTACTATGTGTGGATTTGTAGGCAGTTATGCTACCAGAACCTCTGTCTAATCTTTGCCTCCAGTACTACTAATAATATAGATATAACCACACTAGTTATTCATGGCATCAACTGGAAATGACTTAAGTATCCACTTAATAGGCCCTCCATTCAGCTGACTATCACTTTACACTGGCATTATATACAAATAAGCAGGTATATATAAAGGCCAAATTACTTAATATTTAATTATTAAACAGTAGCTATAATATAGCCCAATATGGCAATCATTTGACCTTAATCAAAAATAAGGCTAATGAATGTTTATATTTGTGTCACTTAATTCAAATTATAACAATAGCTTAAACATAAAAAGTTTTAATTTCTGTTTTTATAGTTCTCTCAATGTGATGGTATGGTTCAGATGGTACAATATCAGAAAAATATGTAATACAATGAAAGTTTTTACTTCAAAACATGCCATATTTTTCTTCAATGCCCTTCTCTGTCCACTTCTGGACTCCATTTTGCCCATTTTCAAGTGATATACTGGGAATGACCTAAGGTAAAAAACAATTTGAAGACTGATATTGACCAAATTACTTGTTCTTTAAACTGATTCATATTAATCAACAAAATAATATATCCAATGTACTTTGATGCCAGTTACAGTAAGGACCTTTATAAAAAAAAACTAAAAACAGGAAATTAAAACTTTCTCATTTTATCTTATCTCCACTTATAAAATCTTTTATACTAAGCTTTTAACTTTTTAAAAAATCTAGTAATAAATATGCTATAATACAAAATGTTAGCAAAATGTTAAATATTACCTTTAACGAATGATCTAAAATACTATTTGCTGGAGAATTTCCAGTTTCTTCAAATTCTAATTCAGACATTTCTGATTCGTCAGAACTTTTTGTTGATGATGACATTGCACCAATAGGTGGTGGCGGATGAAGAATATCGAAGTTTGGAGACCTTCATATTTTAACATATAAATAATTGAAATTAATAACTAGATAAAAATCAATAAAAATTTTATAAAATTGAGAAAGTTTAATAAATATATTTTTGGATGCAAAGCAAATAGTATCAAGTTAAATTAGCATGCTTATAATGGCATAAATATGAAAAATTAAGGGAAAAAAACCAAGGTCAATAATACTTAAAATACAAAAAAAAAGCAAATTTTTTCAGATAATATTAATTTATATATCATCAAAATACTATCAAGGTCAAAAATTTTACCTAAGTGCCTGGTGTTTATAATAATGTCATTCTTGTTTTTTTACTATCAAGGTAAAATTTAATAGAAAATCAAATAAATAATTTGATTTTACCTTGATACTCTCTTCTATTTTTATAAGTAATCACAATAGTAATAAAATTACTAATCCTCTAAAACAAAAATTTTAAATGGAGGAAAAACAACAAAAAGATCTAAACTAATATTTATTTATTTATATGTAGTAAATGAAAATATTTATAAACTCATATCATATTCATTATCTCTTTTATAATATTTGATAACTAATACTGATTTCTTTATCAATGTAAAACGTATATACTAAATGACCTGTAAGTTACATAGGCTGTTTTTTTTAAACCTCCAATGATTCATAAAACAAAGACAAGTGTAAGTAACAAAATGAATTTATTACCTAAAGTTAGGTACAAACATGGTTACTTTTTGACATAATCTCAATCTTTTGACAAATATCAAGTTAATGTTTAATTATTAAATAGTAGCCAAATATAAATAATTTGGCCTACAGGTAGGCAGCAACATTGCCATCTCTTGATAAATTTAGTAATTATAAATAAATTAATATTTAATTTTTAATTTAGAAAGTTCTAGAAGAAAAGAATCAGCCCAAAGCAGAACTCAAACTTGCATCTCCTGCTTACTGTCAAATGACAAATATTTGTCATTTGTCTATCTGTGAATGAGCTTTGCAATCCCCTCTTCATAGAATGTTGCTGCCAGTGACTTGAGATGGGCCTTGAAAATCGTCATTAGTGTAGAACCTCTGCCCTCCTAGCCAAGTTTTCCATTCAGGAAAGAGATGGAAGTTATTTGGCACTAAATCAGGACTATACACTGGGTGTTTAAAAAGTTCCAGGCTGGGTGGAAGTCTTCACACATTAAAAGTGTGAAGACTTCCACCTCTTTCCTGAACTGAAAACTTGGTTAGGAGGGCAGAGGTTTGAGACTAATAACGATCTTCAAAACAATGTTAAGGCCCATCGCAAGTCACTGGCAGCAACATTTCTATGATGATGGAATTGTTTGTCCACAGATAGACAAATGACTTGATCATCATGGTGATTATGTCAAAAAGTAACCATGTTTGTACCTAACTTTAGGTAATAAATTCATTTTGTTACTTACACTTGTCTTTGTTTTATGGACTATCAGAGGTTGAAAAAAACTGCTCTCGTATATTGTTCAGAATCACATTTTTACTATTCAAAATCTCTATGATCAAAATATATGAAAAGTTTATAACCAGATATAAATTAAATATTTTAGATTAATTTACTTTTTTAAATTCTTTCCATTCTGGCAATATGTAAATTTCACAAATTCATAAAAGAAATTGATAGATAATGGATTCAAATTATCAACTTTAATCAATATACCTAAATTCATACAAGTCACATTTTTGGGATAATAATTTATAATTTTAGGGCACATCATTAGAGTAATAATTTAAACAATTTATGTAACTTGATCTAAAGTATGTAGTTAGACCATCATCTTGTGTTAATCTATATATATAAATGAAGATGTTTGTTTGCTATACATTCCTGGGCTGTTCAACCAATTGCTAAGAAACTCAGCAGTTACATTTACATACTTCTAACTTAGATAATATTGTACATCTCACCCCAAAATATTGATTGCATTTCTATAAATCAATCAATTTCTATCTACATTTGATCTGCTGAGTTACATGTAACATCATCTATTGGAAAAAATTTAAAAAATAATAAACTAAATATAATTCTTACAGAAAAAGATATAATTTAAAAATGTATATATTATATTCACTTAATTACTGAGACAATAGCAGTAATTATGTAATGATATACCAAGAAATAGATGTGCTATCATTACCAAGACAGGTAGCATATAGCACTTGCCTGCATGGAATCGAAAGTGTTTAAGCCTGTGAAAAGCCTATAAGTATTTAATTTTCACATCTAACAACTTGAGATTTTTTATTTCTGAACAATACTTTCTCAATTCTAATAACCGCACTCCAGTAGCAGAGTGGATAAAATCATTGAACATTGGTAGTTGGTCATTGGGTTCAGGCATAGCCACGTGGAGTTTTCTGAGATTTCTTCACATTAGTAACACCTAAATAAAATCCATCTTCCCGTAAAAATCTTCCCGGAATGCATCCCCCTTGGCAGATTGCTCATGTTTCACATTGACATAAACAACTAAAGCAAACTAATTCCAACAAGCAATTATTTATTGTGACATTGTCACAATGTCGGGCTGCAACTTTTCGTCACAAAATTCTCAATTCTTTTAGTAATGGTCTTGCCCCTGTTCACCATACTTTTCCTGTTAGCAACAGAGTTGTGCCAGTTATCTAACTCTTTTGAGGAAAAAATTTTGAATTGAAGTAACATGACTTCTGGTTTAAATCAGAAGTTTGTATATATCGTATATTTCTGCAGATAAGACGATAGTTGAATCATAAGAAAAGACCCCCAAAATCCGGGGTCGTCTTATAGGATAGATACAAAAAAAATTAGATTGAAATTTATATAAATTAAAACCATTATAAAAACAGACAAACCGTAATTATTTACTAGCAGAGAGTAGGGTTTGTGCAGAAAATATAATAGCCCATACAACGTTTTCGTGAATAGTCAAGGTCATTATCCAAATGCCTGAATCAGTGCAAATGTTTGCAACAATTGCAAGGCAGTGCTGCCAGATGCAAGAAAATAACTCCATATACATAATTCCGTATATGCTATACAGTATTATTATCCTGATGATGATCGCTAATCTAAACTAAATTCATAGGCTGCTGATTGTTTGGGGGTCGTCTTATAGGACAGACATATGCTAAAATTATAAAACTTTGACAAAAATTTATATCTCATCTTATCTGCAGAAATATATGTTAGTTAACCTGGATCTCCTGCCCATAAGCTTTTCACATCTGGTGTTGACTTTCATCTATCTAACTCTTTCCTATCTAAACCCTTACCTAAGATAACATTTGCAGTTATGTAAATTAAATACTATAATGTAATATAATAGAAGGGTTAGAAGTACAAAATAATCTAATAAAATACTTTTAATCTTAATCTTTGTTGCTCAGGAAAAAAACAACATTGGGTTCATCTATTAGTATAAGTTATAAATTAGCTTTTGAATTAAATTAAATAATTTATAAGAGTTTGGCAAAACATCTGTCCTATTTTATAACTAAAAATAGGACAGATGTTTTGCCAGATTCTTATAAATTATTTAATTTAATTCAAAAGCTAATTTATATATTACATCAAGATGACAGTCTAACTATTTACTTTAGATCAATTTACATGGGTTAATTGATTAACTTATTAGTATAATAATAGCTACATATACAAGTTGGATTTTTTGAAATTGGGCTTAGTTACTGTTTATGTATATATAATTTTCTCAAGATTTGCCAGTTGAATTAGTATGAATTAATCAGTCAGTAATAAATTTTAGTTAGGAATTTTCAATTTGAGTTGGTTTTTTTAAAGCTTGAATTTCCTAACAATTAGTGATTTTAATTTTGTCACTAAACAATCATCTTCCTTCATCTTTGAAGATTTGTATATCCTATTATTTATCTAAATTAGATACAAGGTGGTATCAGAAAATTTCTGGACTAGACCTATAAGAATTTACAGGATAATGTTATTAGAATTTAATCATCATCCCCTTCAAAATAGTCTCCTTGGGAAAGTGTACAGTGATCCCAGTGCTCTTCCATGACTCAAAGAAACTGAAGAAGTCTTCTTCCTGCAAGCTATCCAATGCAACCTGTGATTTTGCTTGAATTTCATCAATGGTCTCAAAGCATGCCCTTTCAACCTCGATTTCATTTTCATGAACAAGGTAGTCACAGGAGGTTAAATCTAGCAAGAAGGGAAGATGTGGAACAACCATCAAGGTGTTTTCTGCCAAAAACTGCATTGTATTTAGAGAGGTGTTAGAGGGCAAGTTGTCATGATGAAACAGCCAATTCCAGTTGCACCACAGTTCTGGTCTTATTCATCTCATATTTTCTCTTAAGTGCTTCAAAATATTACAGCAAAAGTCATAATTGACTGTCACGCCAGGAAGAACAAATTCTTGATTAACGATGAATTTTTTTTAATGTTTTTTTTTTCTATTTTGCTGGTGGTTGGTCACCTGAAATGTTCATCATCTTGAATTAACACTCAATCAGCCTTGAAACACATGTGACACTCTAAAAACCTCTGTTTGTAGGTACCTAACAAATGTATACCAAAAGCCTGACAAAGCATTTTGAGAGTCTCAGTAGTAGTTTCTCTGAGCATCATATAACACTTGATGGATGCATGCTGCTTAGATTTGTCAGACATAGTATTGATTGCAGAATGGTCTTCCACTACTTTACAAAACTGCACATAACAAGTGAATGCACGTTTGCACTATGACGCCATTTGTCATAGTGAATCAGCAGATTTGAAAGCGACTACCTTGCAAACATATGCACTTCCATTGAATGGTACAGTAAGGCTAACTACAGTCCAGGAACTTTCTGATACTACCTCATAAAAGATCTTCCACAGTTTGAACTCTTTATAAATTAATTTCTAAACTCAATATTCATTATTATATATTTTTAATGGCTGAATTATTGCATAAAATCTACATGTTTTATTGATAAGACTATAACATTTTAAAAATATCAGAAATTGGAGTTCAATCCTTAAAATTTTAATTACATATCTACAGAAAATTATAATCATGAAAATTTTTATTTGAATTTATATTCATATAAAATTAATTCTAATTAATAAAAATATTATCAATTTATTTAATTTCATATAAATATTTCTAAGGTAATCATCAACAGTTCAATAACATAATAAATAAATATTACTAATAATATATAAATACTATCAATATTTCTTAATCTGCCATTTAATATTAATGTTTCACATGATTGAGATTAAACAGAAATTTTGTTATAATTAATGAGATTATATATAATTTGTTTAATGAAAATGTTATAGAAAGTTTTAAATTTCATGGTTTTTGTTTGTGTGATGAAGCTTATAAACTATGATACAGATACAACCTCCTTAAGTTAGAAAATATTAAAGACTAAAAGTATTTATATGTATTTTTTCACAAGTCTAACGTAAAGACAATATTTAATTTCTATAATTATTTTCAAAAGTTTATTGTACAGAAATAACAGTCTATTTTTTCCACTATGTCTTAAGAAATATTGAAAAACAAAATGTGAAAATATTATAATTCAAATAATTTTGTTAACAATTGTTACTACTTCAATCTATATTAATGAGAGAGGTTACTTCAATTCATAACAGAAATATAATAGTTAACTAACTCAAATTAAATAATGTATTTTTATGTTTAGAAAAAGTATAGGAAACTGTTTGTAATAATATTGTATTACCCTGAAGTAATGGGAAAATAATCTTTTATATAATAAAAGCTGATTAATTGATTGATTATTATATAAATACAAATTTAATTCTTATCATTTACCTTTTTGTGACTTCTTTATCAAAAAATTTCCTTTTTGTTTCATCTGTGTTTATTGTATTTTCTTTTTCTCCATCCCTATTCTGTTGATTCAAAACCTCTGCTGTATCTTTACTTCTTTGAAGAGTATTATTACAGTCATTGCCAAATGAGCTTTCTATGTGCCAATCTTCTGAATTCTAAAATATCAAGCAATGTAAATTAATTTGTTATAAATTCACTTAAGAATTATTTGTAATTATTTATATAAAATATACAATCAACCAATAAAGTATTATAAACACAAAATAAATTAAATGCTTTAATCATAAATAGAATAATTCTTATCTAATAAAATGTAATTAGGAATCAGAATTCCAGCGATCACACATGAACATGATAAAAAAACCAACTTGAATGAATAGATAGACTACAGCAATGGATTTACTGATACATGAATTAAATAGCATAATAATAGTACAGAAGGTCTAAAAAAAAGTAATTTCAAAGTGCTGTACTTCAAATTTCTTCTCATAAAATATATGATTACTTTTTAAATGAAACATCTTAATGTGGATAAATATTAAGCATGAGAGACCAGTTTCCATGTTGTCATGCTATACTGTTGAAGATGTCCTCCTTCAATTCATATGTATGAAATTACATGACCATAAAAACGATAAATATCAAAATCTCTAAATGTATGTAAAACTGAAATTGACAAAATAAATTCTCTCTATACCTCTATATTACAAATAAAAACAAATTAATGCTTTATAATGCTTAAAATTTAAATTTAGCACTAATTAAATTATATATATATTTTTTTATAATATGGAANTCACAGCCCGACACGTGTCAAGTTTACGGACTACGGCTGTTTGAAAGATTTTCTTCCATAAAATTAATCGATTCTAGACTAATCCGACTCAACATTTCCAAAATACGTATATTTTTTCGTAGTTTTATAGGAATCGTAATTATAGGGACCGTAATTATAGGGAGGTCGACTGTAGTTTAATTATAATAATAAACAAAAAAAGAGAAAAAGTACATTTAATTTTAAAATTCTAAATGATCTAAAATTTTCACATAAAGTTATAACTAGACAGCGGACATCTAGGCCCTTAAAAGTGGCGTTTTAGGTGCTTAAAATAAGCTCTTAAATTGCGTCGTTTAGGCTTTATAGACAAAAAATAGGTGGTCAAAATTTCACAATGAACAATTAATGTACTTATCAGGATGATGAATTTTTTATTTAACATATGTATTCCATACAAAACTGCATGTATTCAGAATGATGAAAACACAAAAATAGACAAATGATTATCTTTGCATTTTTTATTCACTCTGTTTCCCATAGTTAGCTTCATAATATATTACAAGCACTTTTTCCAAATTTTCAATAAAATGTTGCAACGTTTGTCACTAAGAATTAATTTATATGCAGAGAAAGAGTGTTCCACATCTACTGAAGATAACAGACAGTATTTCAACCTTGAAAGAAGATGAACTGGGAATTCACTTTCAGTTTTGCTCTTCTTTCCTGCTAAAATATCAGCCACAATAAACAAGCACTTTAATCCAAGTCTCTTTTAAAGCACTGCTTTCAACTCTTTCTTCATTTTTTTGCAGAAGTGCCTGGTACATCACAAAGTTTCTGGTTTTCTCTGTTGAGGAGATCAATTTGTTCATATATAGGTTTCCCAATATAGTAGAACCTCGATTATCCGGATTGTTCAAAATAAACAAAAATTTTACGAATTTGCTGATTTGCACTTGGCGAATTACGATACTGTTTATATATGTGATGGAATGCATAACTTTTTTTGTTTCAACAACGACTCACCCGGCACAGTGGCCGTAAACTGTTAAATATATTTTGCGTCGTAATAAAAATATAACTTGACATACGTATTTATAAATAATTTATTTTCAAATTACATCATTTCTATGACCAAGGGCGGCGTAAGGCACGGGCAACGTGGGCCACCGTCTACGCCTCGCAGTCCGAAGAGCCTCGCATTTCGAAGGTTTATGCATTACTTAAAAGCCGCGAACACAACAAAAAAATTTTACTCGTTATAGAACGATAAATAGTTTGTCAAATTTTTATTCATAAAAATGCAGTTTCAACTGCTTTTTATTTTATAAAATCCGTCTTCTTGCGCCACCAGAGGGCCTTTTAAACAATAGGTAGTCTGTTAGCGTTGGTCAGTAGTAGTCCAAATTCAATACGAACGTTTGTTTCTTGAAAATTTGATTACGATTTAAATACAGTATTTACTTTTAATATTACCGATATGTCATCGAAAAGAAAACATGTTGTATTATCATTAAAAGACAAATTAAAGTATTTGTTTCGATTATCTGGATTTTTCCTTATCCGGACTACCTTCATCCCCCAATTAATCCGGATAATCGAGGTTCTACTGTACTTTCAAGAGCAGTAATAGTAGCTGCAATGAATGTGAAATAACATTTCATGTACACCAACTTGTTCTGAACATAAATGTCATTCAAAATTTTCTTGGCTTTAGTTAAGCAAACTGCATTGTCTGCTAAAGTGGCCAGAAGTTTTTTGATATCGAAGAAATGTTCACTGTAGTAGTTAGTACAAAATCTTAGCCATGTATATGCCAAGGAAAAAATTAGACATTTGCCTAAAATCCACTGTCTAGTTATAGCATTTAACATTTAGTTTCATTTTATCTGAATGAGTTTAATTAATATCGACAGATCAAATAGATAAATGTATTTATGTAACATATAAAAACAGTATCGTACTGTTAAAATAATAATTTTTTTATATTATTAACAACAACTTTCCTTTTAATCACTTACTCTTTCTCGCAACTCTAATAGGATTTATGTATTAACAAACAATAATTTTTTCATATTCTATGATAAGATATGCTATTAAATTCCAGCTATTTTATTCATATTTACAAAGAAAAAAAATACCATTTGCTTCATGAACAAAAATACTTTTATTAAATATTTTTTATTAAAAAATAAAACATTTTAAGATATAAATAGATAGGAAATCATTTTATAACATTAAGAGAAATTAGATACTATTATATTATAAAAAGTTGTTATAATTTTATTTCTTTTAACATTACTGGCATTTTAATTTACATATTTAAATGACTGAGTCTCTACTATAATACTGATTAATACTGATGTAATTTAGTAATAAATAATAACAAATACAGGTAAACACCATAAAACCAGAAAAATTCATACACATTCCTTTATATCTATGTTGTTCTAACCTGAAGACGACTGTTTAAAATGGAAGAAAACATTTGTTTTGTTTTAATATATTCATTTTTTTTTGCTGGATTTTTGGTGTTTACATGTATTTATTATTATTATTATTTATTTAAATGATGGCCAATGATGCAAAAGAAATTATGTTACCTTTTGAAAGTTCTAATGCAAAGAATGATATAATTATATATAAATTTCAATGTAATTTTTAATTAACAAAATGAAATTCATTTTATAATTTAAAGATTCATTAAACAGAAAACTTACGAAAGTACTGAATTAAGAACTGAATTTGTCCTTGTCAAATCATGTTCCTGAAAAAATACATTTTAATGCACCATTTAGAATGTATTAGAATATTTAGAATACAATAAAAACTTCAAAGAAATATAAAATTATTCATAATTTATTTATCCTAAGATGCTCCTTCCAGTTTCTTTATTAATATAATTTTCAATTTACTGGAAATATCTGACAAAATACAAAACAGGTATTCCTTGCTTAACATGGGATTTGATTAACATGCAAAATGAATTGAGGAAAATCCATTTATATATGTGGCAGAAGTTTTAATTAACTTGGCTTTACCAGCTGTCTTTACTTAACATAGATACAGAATCTGATTAACATGATTTTGATATACATGATAGCATCGAGGGATTAATTAACTGCATTAATCAAGGGATATCTGTATACTGGATGATCCAGAGTCCTTCAATATAACATCCATTTGTAATGCTAAAAATGTAAAATTTTCTTTTTCTTTTCTTTTTTCCTTTATGCAACAGCAAGCTGATTTTTCCTTTAATTTAGTATAGATTTCTATTTTTGCTTATGTATGCAAGTACCATATATCTTGGCAGATAAGACAACCTTCAGATAAGATGAGGTATAAATTTTTGTTGAAGTTTAATAGTTTTAGCATATCTCTGTCCTCTAAGATGACCCCCAAACTATCAGCAGCCTATATTTAGTTTAGATCAGCAATAATCATCTGGATAATAATACTGTATACCATATACTGAATTTTGTATACGGAGTTATTTTCTTGCATCTGGCAACACTGCCTTGCAATTGTTGCAAATATTTGCACTGATTCGAGCATTTGGATAATGACCTTGACTATTCACAAAAACATTCTATGGGCTATTCTATTTTGTGCACATACCCTACTCTCTTCTTCTTCTTGGTGCCATATCAGATTCCTGACGTCGGCGACATCTGGCGTAGGTTAGTAAGTAATTAGTAACGCGCCAAGATGTTACTAGGGAAAGTTACTACCCAGAGCGGTTTCCCATTGCCTGCTCTGGGGCGCGATGTTACGCGAGGGGAAAGAATGCCTTCCGGGAGGACTTTTATGGAGAACTGGCCTCCTATTTAGTCGTTATTGGCAAGGAGAAAACCCAGAAAACTCCAAGCAGCCAGCCTGTCCGATCACGGTGCCAACCCATGACCGAACTCCCAGTGTTCAGGGTACTAAGACCACTCGGCCACTGGTGGGCACCCTACTCTCTACTAGTAAATAATTATGGTTTGTCTGTTTTTTTATAATGGTTTTAATTTATATAAATTTCAATCTAATTTTTTTTTTGTATCTGTCCTATAAGATGACCCTGGATTTTGGGAGTCTTTTTTTATGATTCAATTATTGTCTTATCTGCCAAGATAAATGGTATTTATTATTAATATGCATTTATTTACATAAAGATGCATTTTTTTAATTTAAGAAAGACAGTAAAAATCAGTTATTGCAGCTTTCATCACTGTTAAACAGTGGATGAACAACTGTCTGAAAGAAAAATGACTTAACATACAAAAAATGTTTAAACAAAAAAATCCAGTTTCTTTTTTTTCCCATGTATGATAATACTGGTAAATGCTTTATCCATTATCATTTGCACTACTATGTTGATAGACTTCTGAATCATCTAATATAATGTATGTACAATACATGCATGCTTATTGTACAAAAGAAATTTTATATGCTTATATATTTTCAAATAAAATAAAAAAAAAAGATTCATATTAAGAAAAAAACTAAAAGAATTTTTTATTATAATGATTAAAAAATTAAAACTGATTTCCTGATTACAAATTAACCCTAGAATGAAACCATTAAATGTATAGATGCCAAAGACATCAAGTCCTCACTAATATCATTTTGTTATATAATGTTGTCAAAAAAATATACAAGGGCTATTTTTTAAATAAGGTTCATTCGTGAATGAGAGTGAGAATGATGCACGATCACAGCAGTATGCATGAACGTCTGCTTCCAGCATGCTTTGTGTGCATTTAGAAGCCATTTGCAGCCGTATTGTTTGTCTGTGCTAAGCTGTAGAAGTTTATAATGGTTAAGAAAATCGAGTCACCTGCTGACTGTGAGATGCAAACTGTTATTCGATTTCAGCACGAAAGATCGTGGCAACTATCTTTTGGGACAGGAAAGGGATTTTTGTTAGTGTATTTTATGCCAAGAGGCACAAAAATCAATTCTGATGTGTAATGTGTGACCTTCAGAAAACACTGGCATGCCTTACGAAACAAGTGGTGTGGCTGCTGTCTTCTGGTGGCAGGCAGCAGATTTCTTTGAAGTCAGAATTCAAAAAATTGTTGAGTGGTATGACAAATGTTTGAACAAAAATGGAAATTATGTATAAAAGTAGATAAAAGTATGTAGAATATAGGAAAAAATATATTTTAATGATATTTACAGTATTTATCTTCTTATTAAAAAATAGACCTTATTTAAAAAATACCCTTCATACATTTACAATTACTGCTGTTGAATTTTCTTTGTAAACAGTAAGATTGAATTTATGAGATAAAAAATAAATGCTGCAGATTGCAAACATGATTCAATTAGATTATTCTTAACTAAATTATATCTGTTTATATTATAGCCTATTAGCCTATAGTAAAATCGATTTTGTTATATGTCATTTTGCTTAACACCGAAGTTTCCAAGAACCTGTTGACAACATTAAGTGAGGACTTGCTGTATCAGATAGTACCACCAATGAAGATTTTCTCATTGCAATGCATGTATTTGAAACTGGCATGTTTCATATCTGAATGAAAGTATATTTGAATCAGTCTTTCTGAATATGAAAATAAACCCAATATTAATAAAATTCTGATTTTATTAGCATTGATCCTTTTTCTTTTTGAGATTATCAAAGTCCATTCAAACCAACTGTATAATTTTGTATTAAAAAACTAAAACATGGTCTTCTTCTAAAACAGTGATTCTCAAAAGCTGTAGTGTGGCATGGCACATTTGTATGCCTCAACAGAAAGACAGAATGATTATTATAGAACTACATTTTAAATATAAAAAGAAATAAATTTTTATAAAGATTTATTATATCAATGATTATTTAATAGCTATGTTAAGTCCCTAGGATAAATGATTTTATTGTACACCACAATATGCAATTGTTTGTTATTTGCAAGGGCCCAAAGTAACAAACTCTTTGTAAAAGTACAGTGGAACCTCACTTAACAAATAATTCATTCCATAATCTTACTCGTAATGCAAAACACTCATTAAGCAAAAAAATTTTTCCCATATAAATTAATGTAAAATATGATAATGCATTCCATGCCAGAAAAAATACTCAAATATTTTATTTATAACATTTATTCAAAGACAATTNTTCCATAATCTTACTCGTAATGCAAAACACTCATTAAGCAAAAAAATTTTTCCCATATAAATTAATGTAAAATATGATAATGCATTCCATGCCAGAAAAAATACTCAAATATTTTATTTATAACATTTATTCAAAGACAATTATACAATATACATTGTTAAGGAGCGTGAATCATCATCTTTTCTTCTAGCATGAAACGAACCAACCTGAAATGCGAATTCGATTTGCAGGGGGAAAAAAAATCACAGATAATATGTCTCATAAACATGCCAAACGATATGCCAAATTCTTGGGCTATGTAAAGGCTATAATTAAATATTAGCAATTAAGTAATTTGACTAGAGGTAAGCAGTTATGCTGTCATCTCATATTAAAATTAATAATTATAAATAATAAATTTTTAATTTAGACATTTCTAAAATTTAATATTTACTTGGTCATTAAATTTAATATGAAATGGCAGCATAACTGCCTACCTCTAGTCAAATTAATCAATTTCTAATATTTAATTATAGCCTTTACATAGCCCAAAAATTTGGCATATTATTTGGCATGTTTATTACATAACGGGCTATGGTTATTGATGTTTATATGTAATATGTCTAAACATAAATTTGGAAAAATGTGTGATCACAAGTGACACTAAGATTCTAGCAGAACAAGTGGCAAACATAAACTGATGAAATGTGTGCAAAATCTGGGACTTCCCCTCTCCTTGAGACTCTTTATGCAAAACATCACTTGTTAAGTAAGTCATATTTTTACAATTTGTTTTGCGTGTTAGGCAAATCACTCGTTATGTGAGGTGCTCGTTAAGCGAGGTTCCACCGTATTTGTTATTCTTGGAATATAAGCAAAACAAGTGCATTAAGTATCGCTTACTATTGCTTATGTTCTACAATTAAGAATTACATTTAGATGTAAAATTTAACTAATCAAACAGATATAAAGACATGAAGACCATTTTTGGACAAATTTTAAAAATAGCTGGATTTTTTTTTTTGAACTGAATCAATTTTCATTATTTTAATAATTTTTTATACTCAATTTGAAAAATTGCTTCTAATTCTAAAACAACTTACCATTTCATCATCACTTTCACTCACTTCAAGATCTTCTCTTAAGTTAAATCTATAAAAAGAATATATTTACGTAAGATATATAAACTAAATAAATTTAATTTCAATTTTAAAGTATTTCTAGTAAAACAGAAAATATATTCTTAAAATTATTAGCGAATATTGTGATATAAGATTTTTTATAATGAAATCATCATTCTTAATCTAATTTTAATTTTTTAGGTTCTATACATTTGATGTTACTCAGAAAAAAATGGCTAAACATCATTTTTTTTCAGTACCAAATATAGCTGCTAAAATAATAGTAGTAACATTCCATTAGAATTATTTCATCATAAGATTACACTAATAAAGTTTAGACTATTCACAATAAGTTTAAAGTAGTTTCCTTTTTTAATTATTTGCATGGCTATTAGTTATACATAAAACAGAACATTTACATTTTATTTTATGTAAAACTAATGTTGCAAATAATGGTTTTGTGTTATATTTTTTCAAGTTTTACATTGCAACACTAAATTAATATTTTTCAATATCCTCTAATTATTTTGAACAATGTAATTTCAGTTTTATTAAAATTATTTATGTAAAATTAATACAAGATAAATATTTAAAAATATTAAACTTACAATGAATGTGTAGAGTCTGTGTTTTGTTCAATAACGGCATCTAAAATTAATTTTAAAAATATCAATTATAGCATTTAAAATATATATCATTAAATAAAATATTTACTCTTGTAATAAAACTTAAACAGTAAATGGATGAACATCATTTTTTTTTTCAGTATCAAATATAGCTGCTAAAATAGTAATAGTACCATATTCCATTAGATTTATTTCACTTTTTATTTTATTATAATTCTCCCATTAATTTTGTATTTGAATTTGTTCCATTGTTTTTTGAATTTGAATTTATATATTCTATTTTTAGAACACCATTATTTTTTCTCAATTAATCTGAGGATGGCCTATCAAATAGGCCGAAAACGTTAGTTACATTTAAAAAATTTTTTTCTCAGCAACTTAAGATGTAGTTGTGTAGTGTAGTTTAAACAGTAAAGATTATAGTAGTTATTATTTATATTGAAGACAACTTCCATATTGAAAATGAATCACTAATTATGAAAATGATTACTTAAATTGTTTCCTATTTAAACTGGAGAAATGCTATCATCAATTATATTTAAATGAAACATTTATTTTTTTATTTGATAAAAACTTTTAAAAAATATATAATTAAGTTGTAATTCATCTTAACTTTCCATTCAAAATTAAAAATTTATAGTAATTGATTACTTACTTTGATCTGCCACATTTTTTGAATATATCTAAAAATATATACATATAAATTAATTAATGTCGATATATTATGAAATATAAATAAAACATAATAAACTGGTAATAATGAAATAAAGATATCAAAAACTGTTATTACAGTATCGCAAATGAAATGATTAAAATTACAACAAAATTGTCTTTTCGATATAATTTAAAAATTAATATATTATCACCAACTTCTAACCAAATCTTCAATTTATACCAAAAATAATAAACAATTTAAGACAAATTATTTTCTTACTTGTCAACTCAATAATAAAAATATAAAATCCTAGTAAAAAGAAGTATTACATTATTGTGAAAACATATCATCAAGTATCATATACAGTATATTTAAATTCAACATATGTTTTTTCTTTTATCCAGTGAAAATTCTCAACAAATTTCAAACATAAATGCTCATCTTTCTATTATATTGAATAAATAGAAAACAGAATAATAAAGCAAAATATTTAAAATTGCCTCTTGTCTATTTTTTTATTAACTGTAGTAAATTCTAGATTTTTAAAACAGATATCAAATAGTCTTATTAAATCTGAGACAGAAAACAATTACCAGCAAAATTCCATTCAATTTTTTATTCTCCAATATGCATTTTGAGCTTTTTAAGCCCCTCTTCACTTGGAATATATTTTACTTGTTCAGAAATTTAAGATCTTATTTATCATTAGCTCCCATATGACAAGTAAGTGGGAGCTAATGATAAATAAGATCTTAAATTTCTGAACAAGTAAATTATATTCTAAAGGGGCAAATATTCCAAACTGAAGCACATATATTGTAAAGAGGGGCTTAAAAAGCTCAAAAAGCACATTGGAGAATAAAAAATTGAATGGAATTTTGCTGGTAATTGTTCTCTGTCTCAGATTTAATAAGACTATTTGATATCTGTTTTGGAAAATCTAGAATTTACTACAGTTAAAGCAAAATATATTTATAAGATTAACTATTGTGATAATAACAAATTTTCTCTCTATAGGAAAAAGTTTTCGAACAACGTGAGAATAATAATTAAGATATTCAAGAATATATATATATATATATATTAAAAAAGCGAGAACTACTTTTATAAACAGATAAGGCAGATATATGTTTTATATAAAATTCCATATAAAAGCATCACAATTATGATTATTATAATGAAAATACAACCAAATTTCTCATATTAAATTAATAAAATTAAACTATTTACAAAATTAAAAAATTATTCAAAAAGAAAAAGAAAAATTTATAAATTAAAAACACAGTCAAGAACAAACAAGATAAGAAAATAAGTTAACATAATAAGAAAAACTTACCACAAAATGAAAAGTCTGTTAATAAGATTATGAAATATTAGCAATAAAATAATAAGCATCAAGCGTAAGTAAAAATTTATTAAAATGTTTTAAAATATCTAAAATTACATGGAAATATATTAAATAAAATTCCAAAAATCATCTGAATTAATGTGATTTTAAATATGTCTGAATCATTCAATAAAAATTTTATACTTGTCTTTTTTAAAATTTGAAAATTTATTAAATTTTATATATACTTTTTGGTACCTTTTAAAACAATATAAAACAATTATTCCATCAAAACAATTTATAGATACTTGATTTCTGAATAAATTACAAATGCAATTTATCCATATAAGTGATAGAACTGACAGGAATGAACTATAGAATGTAGAATATATTAGTGTAATTCATTATAACCAGTTTAAAATGTAAATAGATATATTTAATTTTTACATTTCGTTCCTCAATTGAAGAAAAATGAAATGAAGTTTCTTCTCTTTCAGGTGTGCAAATTGCGGTTAATAAAGTTGGTATTGGAACTTTCATTTCCTATAAAAGTAAGAAGTGAAATAAATTAAATCAACAGGAAATTCTCAATATATGTTACTTTTGTAACAGTAACTTCAAATAAAAATATTTTATTTATAATGTTAATTTAATAAAATTTTAATTTCCTACATATGTTATCTGTAAATGAATTCATATAAATTTTTAAAATTAAAATTTTAACAAATATATGAGGAATAATAATTCATTATTTTATAGTATTTTTTTGTATATGGGAAGACAATGCACTTTTAAAAAATATAAGAACATAAAGATATAAAAAATAAAAACTTTAATTAGTGAATTTGATACTCTTCTATTAATATTTTATCATCAGTTTAAAATTCAGTAATGAAAACATCATATAAAGTGGAAATAATGATTAACAAATTAGTACAGAAATCAATTTGAAAAATTTATTTATTTATTTATTTTAATTAAGGGACCTAGAATAAGTTCTCGCTGTTTTCCAACAGAAGGCGTTACCAGTACTGCGTGCATGTAGTTTAAGATGGTGATGCATCTGTAAGGAAGTATGATAAGAAACCTTAAAATTCAGTATATGTCCTTTTTTTTTATAGTGTTAAACACATTGAGTTTCATGCCAAAAAAAGACTATTTGCAAGGAATTTTATTGCACTATTTTTTTTTAAAAAAATCTGCAGCTGAAGCACACAGAATTCTTGTTGAGACTTGTGGCGACCGTGCTCTGTTGGAAACAAAATGCAGAAATTGGTTTAGATGCTTCAAAAATAATGATTTTGATGTTGAAGATAAAGAACACGCTGGTGCATCAAAAAAGTTTGAAGACGAAGAATTGAAGGCATTACTTCATGAAGACTCATGTCAGATGCTAGCTAAACTTGCAGAATCATTAGGAGTTTATCACACAACAGTTTCGAAACATTTGAAACTACAGTGGGTGATCGGTTAATAAACAAATCAGATAATGAACACTTTTGCAAAAGATTTTTATGTTTGGACAACGAACACATGATCGGATAATGAACACCTCACAGAACAAACACGAGAAGAAGCGACGTAAAATAATGAATACCAATTGGTCTTCCTTTGTCTTCGGACAACAATTCAAAACTTTTCTAAGTGCGAGAGATGTTGATATTGATGCTCAACCTGGTATATACTGATCAGATACTATTCCTCTGAACTTTGAAACTCTCCCATGTAATTTCAGCCTTTTATTTTTCTGACAGAAACAATTTTTTTATAGTATTTGCAAGACTGTCAGGCGGGTACTCATTAAGTTTTGCGTCAGTTTTTATTTTTGAAAGGTGAGAGTATAATAGCAAAGGTAGAGAGTGGGCAGAAGATGTCTGATGTCTGTTGTTGCTGGGCAGTATGGCTTGAACAGGTCTACAGTAGGTTGTAGTTCAATCGTATCTAAGAAAGATACCGTATTATCAAGAAAACTCAAGTAGCTTAAGGAGTAACAAAAATCACATCTGAGAAATAAAGAACATTGAAGAGCTCATAATGAAATCTGAAACAAACCTGACAACAGAATAACACCAAGAAACTCGGCAAGATATGCTTTTTTCTGAAAAAGAGAATTAATGTTGATATCTGCTATTAAACATTTTTTTGAATAAGTGGAATGTTGTCAGAATGACGGTCTTAGAATGGCATCCAAACCAGGTTGAGGTTAATAGGTATAGAGATCTCTACAATTACAATTCTATTAATTATTTCTGAAAAATCCTGAAGAGAGAAAAGCAATCAACATTAGACAGATTCTTTAACCCCCACAAATGGAAAAAACATGACTAATAAAAATGCAAGACTGTATGTATGTATATTTATTATTATATACAAATGAATGTAGTAAGAAACTATATATTTTTTTATTTTTTGGGGTCTCCAGAACGAATTAATCAAATTCCCGTAAAAACCTTTGGTAAATCAATAATCTGTTAACAAACAATTCAGATAACGATCAAAGTCTTGGAACAGATTATGTTCATTAACCAATCACCCACTGCATTAGGAATGATTCAAAAGCAAGGACATTGGGTGCAGTAGGAGTTGAAGCCGAGAGATGTCGAATGTGTGAATAGTTGCTTCAACGGCAGAAAACGAAAGGTTTTTTTGCATCGTATCATGACTGGCAATAAAAAATGGATACACTACGATAACCCTAAGTGTAGAAAATCGTGGGGTAAGCCTGGCCAAGCATCAACATCGTTGGCAAAGACAAATATCCATGGTTCAAAGCTTCTGTTCTGCATTTGGTGGTATCAGCTGGGTGTAGTTTACTATGAGCTGCTAAAACCAAATGAAACCATCATGAGAGATTGTTATCGACTACAATTGATGCATTTGAGCCAAGCATTGAAGGAAAAACAGTCGCTATACAAGCAGAGACATGACAAAGTGATTTTACAACATGACAACGCTCAGCCACATGTTGCACAACCAGTGAAAACCTACTTTATAAAATATTTTATTTTTTAATTTAATTTTTATTTAAAAATTATTATTAATGTTTTATAGTTAGATTAAAATAACTGGTTTTTTAAAACCTTATTTATATGTTGTATAAGAAGAATGTAAAGATATTATTGTCTCTAAACACAATATTTTTTAACTGATGTGCTGTATCATATAAGTGTGTTACAAACTTTTCATATAGGTGCTACAAAATTACAGAAAAAAAAAAAAATATATATATATATATGCATGTGTGTCAAAAATGCAGATCTTCAATGTCACTTTTTGTTTATTTCATAAAGGAACATCTCTGATATAACAATGGCTCAGTGCCACCAAAAACTGTGATATGTGCCACTAGCTCATAAGGTTAAGAACCACTGATCTAAACTATGTTGAAAAAGGGGAGAAACTATAAATATATTTCTATTTAGCAAAATCATCATTATAAAAATTTATGTATCTCCACAATGATGTCTTTGTTTAACAAAAATCAAATACAATTTGGTCTCCTGTAGAAATCCCAAAGGGGCCAATAGATTTTTATCTGACAGGTCGATAAATTACTAGGAGATCATTTGGGGTNAATAAAATGGCTGAAAGTACTAGTGAAAAAAGCTTTTTCTCATAAAATATTTTTCCTTTAAAATCATTTGTTTAAAAAACAAGTGATTGAAGTTGCTACCATGCTATCATGTTGTTTACAAAATTAAATGGTCAGTCAAAGAATAATAATAATTTTTTTTTGATTTTTCATTGAGTTAAATGTATCATGTCATTATTATAATATAATTTACAGTGTAGTACTAAATAATGTATTTTATACAATACTAGAAAACAAGATATAAAAAATTGGATATAGGTATCATAAATTTTAAATGTAGTTGCAAAATACTAATAAACGTGTCATTTTTAATAATAAAATTTTTTCTACATTTGACAAGTAAATCAATGTATAAATTTATATTAGTAAAAATTTGTTAAGAATTAATTGGTTCTTTTAATTAAAAAATCTTAAACATTAAAACATTTACCTGTAAAATATTTTCTATCTGTTGCAGTTTTTCATTTCCACTATCGTTCTGAAATGTAAAGTAAATTTAATAAGAATAATATATTTCATTTCATAATTAGAATAATTTTTCAATGTATATATTTAGTAATAAAATTTAATTTCTTAACTTAGAAATTTCTATTAATCCTTACAATAATTAAAAATTTGTTGAAACATTATTGATTGATTAAGACAATCTCATTTTAATATTTTTTTGTGTGGATAAAAAAGTAATACCAGTATTGTCAACAATCTTACTTCATCACTTAATATTTTCTGAGAAAAACTGTTTATTAAACAAATGTTTTCAGCCTATTATAATAGGCATCTTCAGGTTTTTAAATTCAATAATAAATCCATTTCTGTAACAATTTATTACTGAATTTAAAAGCCCAAAGATGGCATATGATAATAGGTTGAAAACATTTGTTTAATAAACAATTACAATCTCACTACATACCAGTAAATATAAATAAAATACTCCTCAAACCTTTTAATCAGAATGCTTCTATTTTTAGAATTGCAAACTTTTTTCATCGCCCCTTCTGGGCTCTTCTTCAGGCTTTATCAAATAGGCCGTTACTGTTCAAATAAACATTATATATGAATTTCTTCTGAACACTATCATGTGAAATTGTTCCATAGTTGTATTGTGCATGCTCCATAATCATCTCTTTAAACGCTGTTATCCAGCAAAATCTGCCGTGCTACAGATAGGGCCATTTCCTCCTTATAATTAATACACGTACCATTTCTTCCCGCCTTCAACCCAGAGGAACAAAAATAAAAATTTGTAGTGTGGGACAACATTCAAGTTCCTGAGTTTGCCAAAGATGCGTTATCATTTGGACCCTCATATGCGCCTAAACCTGCAATGACCCGAGCGGCCTCGTCTTATATTCCTGACTTAGAAATCCTCTTGAAAGATCTCACAGAGAACTAAAAAGAGTACTATAGATGGATGGTGGCTTTTAAAATAAGGAAATCTAAGGAAACAAAAGAGGTATATCACTTCCAAGAAAAGCTAAAGAAAACCGTAAGATGGATAAAACACAACAACATCACTCTGGCCAGGGCAGACAAGGATAAGTTATTGGTAGTGATGAAGTGTGATACGTACGAAAAGAATTTAAAAAAATACATCAACATGACCCGATGTACGGAGGTACAGGAGATCTATATCGATAAATTACAATTAAGGGTCAAACGTTTTGCAAACACAAACCTAGCCAAGAAAATGAATATAAGAAACATAATTGTGGATGCTCCTGAAATACCACGGTTATTTGCATTCGCAAAAACACAAAAAAAAACACAACAAGTGGGTCAGACCAGTGGTGGACAAGATTAAGGTCCCACTCATATTTTAGAAACTATCACGCACAACTTACTCATCCTGCATCTGGAAGGATACCAATTCAATACATCCAACCCAGCAGATTATAGAACAATTGAAGAAGATAGCACATCCAGCTTATGCTATGGTTTTGGACTTCCGATTGTTATTCCCTTCGATAGAACTACCACCTTGTTTTTGCGAGCTCAGGAACTACCGGTTTTCGATAGTTGAGTACACCACAATGCACCAACAGATTCTTGAACTAGCCCGTTTGTTATGTTATAGCTCTCTTTTCCAATTTAATGTGAACACATACATGCAAGGCAAAGTAGTCCCAATGGGTAGTCTGGTGTCGGGTGATTTGTGAGAAATGGTAATCAGGAGATTAGAAAACAATGTTCTACCATGCTTTTTTGCACAATATCTTGTTGTATAAGTGTTATATTGATGCCATCATTATATTTTGGAAGGTGGAACCACACATAAAACTCTTCCTAGAAGCCATGAACAATAATCCATATGGGCTATCATTAGAAGTGGATGCACCCTCGAAGATGACTCTTTGAGGGTGCATTTCTTGGACACTGATACCAACTTCGAAGGAGCTAACATTCTTATATCTGTATATCAGAAACCTAGTACCTTCCCCACATAAATTCCAAAAAATTCATGCGATCCTATCCCATACAAAATCTCCGCTTTCCGAGCATTAGTGAGAAAAGCACACACGCACTCCTCAACACAACAAGCTCTAGCAATGGAACTCCAACATATAGAAAATATTGCTGTAGCCCATGGATACAACACCATTCTAATAAAAAATTTGTCTAAAATACATGAGGTTTCCCAAAAAGCCATTGATCAAATAGAGTCACCACTGAATATACGTGAGGAAGAAAAAGAGAGAATACCTATCACATATAATCCGATACTGAAACCAATCTACAACATGGTAGCCAAACAACAAGGCATAAATATTGCATACAGAAGATGTCAAACTGTCTTCAGGATATTAACAAATAGCAAAGACCTACCAAACCCTGAAAGGCTTCCAGGAGTATACACAGTACTGCTAGAAGACAGCAGGTGCGATAAACAACTGACATATATTGGTTCCACGAAACGTTCGTTAAAAGTGAAATTAAAAGAACATGAGTCAGACATACAGCATGGTAGAAACACAACGGCCCTAGCAACATACACTTTGGAACAGGAAATAACGGAGGACCTGCATGCAGCAAAAATCATTATAACCAACTCCAACCCACAACAACTAAAATGGCTAGAAGCCATGGAGATATTTAAGGTGGAAAGAAATGGTACATGTATTAATTATAAGGAGGAAATGGCCCTATCTGTAGCATGGCAGATTTTGCTGGATAACAGCGTTTAAAGAGATGATTATGGAGCATGCGCAATACAACTATGGAACAATTTCACATGATAGTGTTCAGAAGAAATTCATATAGAATGTTTATTTGAACAGTAACGGCCTATTCGATAAAGCCTGAAGAAGAGCCCAGGAGGGGCGATGAAAAAAGTTTGCGATTCTAAAATTAGAAGCATTCTGGTTAAAAGGTTTGAGGAGTATTTTATTTAATAAACAAATTTTCTCAGCAAGCATTAGACGGTGAAATGAGACTGTTGTATGAGTGCACTGTTTATGTATTATATCAAATAAAAATTATTTATTTATTGTACAGTACATCAATACAAAACATGTTTTTATATATTCATAATACAAAACTCTTAATATCTATCCTAATCAAATATGGAAAATCACACATTGTAAATGAGTAAATTTTCTACATTTCAGAAATACAAAAGTAATTGTTACAGAGATTAGCAAGAGAGGGGCAGAAAGATGCATATGTCCCAGAAGCTAAATGAAAAATTGTTATTAACTCTTCTGATAAACAGTAAATAAATAAAAAGATTGTCAAAGTAAACTCATGCTAAAATAGCAAAACTTGACTAAAACAACTCCACAAAACAAAAACCTGATTAAATAGAAAATAAATCCTGGAACAGCACAATTTGACACGTAGAAGAAGCCAGAAACCTATCTATAAAAAAAAAGCTCTAACTTTTCATGTATCAATTACCAAACAATCTGCCATATTAACTATCAACCTACATTAAAGCATTAGCCTTAATGTAGATTGATAGTTAATTAGATGATACAAATCAATTGACAAATTTAATAATTACAATTAAATTCATTTTAAATTTAGAATATTCTGGAAGAAAAGAATCAGCTGGAAAAGAACTTAAATGTGCAATTTCCACTTACTGTGCAGATGCATTACCAGTTATGCTATTTAGATCTCTATCCAATCTTTACCTCCAGAGCTAAATTAATTTAGATATAACTATAAATTGATCACAATATAAATTGATTTGGCTAGAAGTATACAATTAAGCCTACCCCTAGCCAAACTGATTTATATCTAATTAGTTATTAGCCTTAGTATAGCCCAATACATAATCCAGCAATTGTTTGGCAATATGATTTGGCAATTGCTTATTCAGGTTATGTCATGCAATTGGTACATATATTTACTGTGTATATATGTACCAATTGCATAACATAACCTGAATAAAGTGGAATCTTTTGGTAAAACAGCAGCTAGATTATAAATCCTACTTAAAACACATTCTAAGGGTACGATTTTTAATGCTGATGTTTTCCTCTGTGCATCATATAAGTGTTTTGGTGTTTTCAATATGTTCTTGAAACAGTTCTAAATATGAGTTTTAATATTTTATACAAGTTTTCCTTCTTTTCTGCATTAATAAAAACAATCTGTTCCACAAAACAATATTTTGGCCAGTAATGTCAAATTCTATTTTAGATAGGTTTTTTTTATTATATTAAAATTTAAAATGTTAAAAAAACCATTATTTTATTCATCATTAGTGCATATAGTTGTAATATTCATTAATTTTTTATTTTATAATTATAGCATATTTGTTGTCAGAAAGATTCTTATGAAATTAAAATCTTTATTTAATTTTATGAAATATGTTTAATTTCAGAATCATTTTCAAATGGTTTCTTTTTAAAGCTGACTCAAATTTATGTTAATATTTTATTTCAAAATAATATAATATACAAAATGTATATAAACTAAAGGCAAAAAGCACAAACAATTTTAACATTTTATAAAAGTGAATTAGATATAATTTTATATTAATATAAATAAAAAAAATACTAACTGAAATTTTAATTTCAATTAATTTGTATAATTAATTAACTCATTTATTAAATTCTGTCAGAAAGTACTACATAAAAATAATATACAGTATATAAAATTTAAGATTTTATTATAATAAAAAAAAAAATATTAGCTTTAATTTTGACTTATAAATATAAATTTCATTAAACAAAAATTTTGGTATCTGTTGAATGGATATCAGTTTACTGCAAAGAGATTACAAGATCTGTTCAATATACCACATACAATTTTGCTATATTTTGTAAAAGAAAAAAATTTATCATCACATTTAATTTACTATATTTCTTATATAACTTCTATGTTTATTTGAGTTAAACTAGTAATTCTGTCTGTAACAATTATTTGGCTCAAGTACAACAGTTTCATAGCAAATAAAAAGTGCTGTAAATTTATCAAAAAAATAATCTAGAAGTCCCCACTGTTAGGCTAATTATAGTAAAACAACAACTTAGCTTGGAACAATGCCAATTTATGTATCTGAAATGGATAAGGTAATAGAATAGCTATTTGATAACAGATTTAAATTAAATTATCCAGTATAAGTCAATTTATTTGCCATTTATTGAAAAACAAATGAAAATTAATTTGTAGTTCATTCAAGATAATCGCAGAGCCAAGGAACTTTTTCTTGTGTATTAAAGCATAAATCTAGATTCTAATAAGACCAATATATTTATAATTTTGACATTTTAACAAATTTTCCTTTAACAACTAAGACTAGTGAAAATTATCACTAAGCAATATTTTAAAAACAATGAAATAAGTAGGAAAAAATACATAATGCAATATAATCTAAGGATTCATATATTTTTTAATCAAAAATGCTAAACAGGTTAATAGCAATTTTTTAAAAGCACACTGAAGTTATATAATTTTCATATTTATCAAATAAACTTTTCTCCATTATCATCTCTAATGAAAATTGTAGATTTAAAAAAAAATGTGTTTTAATAACATGTATTAATTAAATGTGGATTCTTACTGGGCTACAATAAGGCTAATTAATAAGGCTCAAGTATCTATTTCTAACCAAATTGCTTACTATCTTATTAATTAATTAATTAGCTCTATTGTAACTCAATAATAATGTGGATGTATTGTTTGAGTAATAAAATTTATTGAATTCTTTGTATACATAATAATTGAACTGATCAAGCAAAGTGAGTAAAGCCCATTTCATTATACTCAAATAGTATATTTAAATAAATTCCTCTGAAACAGCTTGAGTGATCTCAACCAAATTTCGTATGGACATCAAGTTCAGGTCAGTAAATGTCATAAGATGTTTGGAATTCTGATCAAATTATGTTTGTAAGAAATAACATGGAAAAACTGGAATTTTTGGGTGCTTATAAGACATGTGCAGCAGTTCAGTTCTGTTTAAAAGTGTAAACAAACATGTCAGGCAATTTATTTCTTAACATTCTTTGAGTTTAAACAAATAAATGTGACAACTAAGTCTTAACTCCAGCTTAACAGCTATGTTTACTCACTAGTTTATGTGTAAACACTGCTTATTGGCAACACTGAACAAGTTCAAAAGCTATTACGTATGAACTGATTTAAGCTGTTCTGACGCAAAGTTTGAATGAAACAAAGTTTCCAAAAATCAGATAGAAACACCATATAAGCTGGAACTTTATATACTAACTAATTTATACTTACCACAAAACTTCCAACACATTCAGTTTTCAAACACAAACATTTGAAAACTCAATGTGCTCAATTGGCTCTTTCTGTTTCTACAGAGTCTGCGCTGGCCCTAACAAGAGCAAAGGAAACACTAAACTTCTTTCTTGAATATAAAATTTAGAACATATGGAAGCTCAGTAGAACTATATAGTTCTACCTTGTTATTTTACCTGAAGATGCCCTTCAAACAAAGCCAAAAATGTTTGTGTTCAAAAACTCAACATGCTAGAAGTTGTATGGTAAGTGTAAATTAGTTACTAAATTAGGTATCTTATATACAACTTTGTCTTTGTTTAACACAGTTTTATTTTTCAATGTTTGTTCAATTTTTATTCTTATTATACCATTTTATTTTAGGAAGAGGGATGCCTACTTAATCTTTACCATAATCTCTTTTTGATAAAATAAAAACATTTATAATTTCCATATTCATATTATTAAATTTCATATTTATATATGGCTGTTCAAAAATCTGCAATTAACAGTCTGATAATGAAACCAAAATAACTTTGATAATCTTTAAAAATATTTATTAACTGACTCCTAAAAGGCAAGTAGATATATTTTTTTAACTTCATATTTATAATACTAGGAAATTTCCACTTTGTTTTTTTACTGTTATAAAAAAATACATAATTAATTGTTTTATTGCATAATTTCTAGTTTAGAAACTTGTTTTTTTTTTAAACATTTATTATATAAAACATTGAAAACATTTATAGAGACTTAATTAATTTATCANGTCGTTATAGAAAAGGGAAGAAAACAAAATTATCTTTTAAACGATTCCCCTACGAATATTTGTTTTAATTAATAAATTTTAGGATTAAGAATTATGTAAAAATTTGGTGAATTTGTTCTATTATTCTTAGATTATGATTTAACATTTTTTTCTGATTTTATATGTCATTAACATTCTTCCGTAATTATTACTAAAGCACATAGAACTGATTATTAAAATGCTATGTTATATATTCATTAAATTATTAATTAAGTTATTTATTTTTTATCTTCTGTATTATACTCAATAAAGATATAATTAAATGAAGTAAGCACGTACTGTTTTCATATGATTTTAGTTATTGAAAAAGTTTCATACTTTAAATTTAAACAAATATAAAAGTATAATACATTCAGTTAAATTAGAGGCAACAATAATGAATTCAAATAATACAGGTGAATTTGTGGTTAATAAATGGAGATCAAAGATCAGGTCGAAAGCATTCTTGTGTTAATTATTCTATTATTAAATTAAAAATTACTAATTAGAAGTAGCAGGATATAGAAAAATTCATAGAAATAATTAACTCCTTGTAATTTATTTAATGATGATAGGAAATAAAAACTTGATTTAAAAAATCTTTATTTAAATAATAGTATAAAAAGATTGCAATGAAAAAGATTTTGTTAGCACAAAACATTCACTATGAACGACAATGAATGTAATGAAGAAACAACAAAACTAAAAAAAATTCATACAATGGTATAAAAATCTGATTAAGAAAATGATGATAAATTTTTTAAAATAATTTAAAATTTGTTCTTGATTTTAATTCGGTTTTTTCCAACTTATTTATACTCTTGTAAACTATTAAATAAAACATTAAACTTAACAGTTATATAAACTTCTTTTATTTTTTTCCCATACAAAATAATCAAAGATAAAGAGAAATTTGAATTGATATTTTGTATCTAGTTTTACTACGGATTAAAGTTACCATATTCACGTCCTTGATGATATTTATCTATTATCAGCATAAGTATATTTTTATACATTTAGGATCTTTGATCTTTCTCAATGTCTCCAACTAAAATTAGTTTCAATCTACTTATACCACTTAAATTTTTACATTGGAAAGATATATTTCTTTAAAATGATGTTATATCTACCTATTTATATCCTATACAGTAAATAAATAATCTAAATACAACAAATGCAGCAATCTTTCTTCAATTTATTTTAAAGTTGATGTGATTATTGTCAATCAACTAATAATACATTTTTAATTATACGTGGCTTAATGCACACATGATCAAATATGCGAAATAAATATAATTTGATTATCTTGATTACAAAATTTATTTAATGCATAAAAATATTTCTGAATTTTAGGAATATAAACTGTAAAAATCAACAGTGCTTCCAAGAAATAAATAAATAATTTAATAAGATTGTTATATGTATTTTTTTGCCTGAAGTTACATAAGAATAAAATTGTTATTTAAAGACTAGTTTAGAATATAATAGCAAAAATAATTTAAACATAACAATTACTGTATAACATTAAATCATTTGTAACTTTTAAATTTGCCTAGTCATGTTGCTTTTGAATTAGAAAGTCATTCACATTGTGTATTTAATGCAAAAAACAAAATAACTTTGTTGAAATTATTTCATAATGAAACTATAGATTCAAATAGTTAATACATTAATTCTGTTTAATAATTAGTGCATAGATCAGTAAATATATATTTGGAAGATTATTTCATATGTTAACAGATTTTTATTACTAATTATCTTTATGTTAGTCACTGTTTCAATATAATTATCAAGAAACTTATCATCATCATTAAATGAAAAAACTGGCAATTCTATTATACTATTGCATATAAATATTACTAATAAAAATAAACAACAGTTAACGGCAAGTAGACATACTCATTAATCAATGAAGCATTTTTGAATCTATGATGCAATTTTTAACAAAACTTCTGCAGTAAATATCAATATATACACAGAAAAACTGGAATCAAATACTGTATTGAACAAAAATAATCAATAATCCAGCAAAGAAAGAGAAATTAATATATTAACTAATGTCTTCGACTATTTTTAACAGCTTTTGTTAAGTTATAAAATCAAAAATCAAAGAACATTACAATGATTTATAAAATAATGGAACACAATGTCTTGAACATGAAACCAGATGCAAAGCTCAGCAGAAAGGCAAAAAATATAAAAAATGAAATTACCATACTCGGCTTTTCTTTAAATAGATAATGAGAAGTAATTCTGACTAGAAAAATTTTAAAGTAATCATAAAATATTTTAACAAAGCTGTTAATCCAAGATTACATTAAAAAATTGTTTTTTTGTTTTGGATGTAACCTTGAATGTAATACTGTAATAGCTAAATAATTAGACCTAAGTGGAAGTTATGTTTAACCATGTAATCATTAAATTTATCCTTTATTTATTCGTCGTCATTCTAAATTTACAGCTTTCAAATGAATAATATATTTGAAAAACTTCTCACGTCAAAAATTACATGAAAACCAGTTAACTGTCTTGCCATAGCCTATGCATATTTTGTAGCAACACAAAAAAATTAATTTTTTATAAAAAATAAAAAAAAACAGTAAAATTTAGCATCTATAATAAAACGGAAGAACATTTAATATAAATTCTTGACACATTAAATTAATACTCTAAATATTACATTTAAATAAATAATATTTAAACATAATATCTAGAGTAAGAAGTACAGTAACAAATTTTTTATCATAATGTAATCATAAACAGATTAAAGATAACGCTAATAAATATATTGACTTCTAAAATAAAAATTTATTTTATATTTGATTATTAATTTATGTAATTATATCTTTTCCTTTTCTTAAATGCAACAACATTCTTTTAAATGTATCTTCTTTTAAAATCAATTTTCAAATGTGAATGCTTAACTAAATTTTAATAAAGTATCTTTGTGTCACGTCACTATTTTGAAAACTTAATAGAAGTTATACAGCTTTTATAACTAAAGATGTAACATAAAATTCCTATTGGAAATGTTCTGAAGTAAATTAATCACTTTTGTTGATAAATTTTCTAACAGATACCATCCTAACAAGTTATATAACAATGTAAATTTTCTTACATTTTCATATATCTAAGTATATGAGCAATTTTCTTTTTTAAGTAAACTGAAAACTGACACTCACACCAGAAAAATCATCAGTTTACAACTGTGTAGTTATTTGTAAATGTATGAACAGTTAAAAGTTAAATAATGAATCATGAATGTTATACAATAGCATAATGGCATATTTAAGTAAATACTTTTATAGTTGACTTTTAAGATAAGCTAATACAATGTAATAAAATACTAAGATTTCTAAAATAAAGGACACTATGTTGAAATTTCGTGTTTTCTATTTCTCAGGTTAAAATTATTACATTCATTCATAACAACATTAAAACAAAACCTTGATATATTTATAATATAACTACAATAGAAAAAGTGGATTACTATAAATAAAACACACATTAAGTCAAGCTGAAAAGCTTGATTTAATTTGTATTTTGTTTATAATTAGGTTAAAGCTATTGAAAACATTTGTTTATTGGTAAATCTCACACCTTTCTTACTAGAATTTGGTTTAAATTGTGTTTTTATTGATATATTTAAATGTGAAAACCAAGATACAATAGGTATGATACTCATGCTGCTTAAAATGGGCTGAGTTCTCACAGTGACGTCATTCAGAAAATTGCTGTCACATGAATTTCATTTATTGTTATTAAACATAAAAAATAAATATAGTAAACAGAGATTATTATTATTTTTTTTTCAATCCACTTTTTGATATATTTTTCATTTATTTTTATTGCTTGATAAATTTATAAGTTAACATTTAATATATATATACATATATATATTAACAGAAAAAAAATATCCAGTTATATAAAATAAGATTTTTTTATAATTATAAAATCATTAAAAAATTAATATTTTTCAGGTCTGGATTAACTTGAAAAATATTATTATGTAGATGCTAACTAAGTACAGCTGTTTATAAAAAAAATACTAATTAACACACTTCCGAATAAAAATAATAATAATAATAATAAAGATGCATACATTTTGTTAACTGTTAAAATATCTGTAAATAATAACATAACATGTATGACTTATTCTGTAATTTTTAAACAGATCTTTAAATTTTAACAAACCTTTGAAATAATTCATTTTGTAAAATTATTCATGGTTATGTCATATTAACAAATATTTAGAGAATGTTTAAAAATTAATTTTTGAATATTTTACAGAATCCATCCTATTACTGTATAAATTTGTGACTTACACAATTATACTTTATTTAAAACTTTTTTCTAACTTTTTTTGTTTTATTGTGAATTTTTAAAACTGTTTTGCTTATTTTTGCAGATGTGTAGTCTCAAATAAAAGGTTGTCCTGGAATAGATGACTGTTCCTAATGATTGGACATGACAAAAAAGAAGGCATTTTAGTTTCCTCTACACTTTTCCTTGTTCTTATAGTAAATTATTGAGTGATTTTATTCTGAAATACACTCTTAACCTAAAGAATAGTGATTTGATTTCATTCCTACATTCGACTGTTAAATTTGAATTAAACATTGTGTTTTTCATTATTAAATAAAGATTATCTTATAAAAATTATAAGAATATCTTTTACAAGATATTAAAAATAAACTCATGAAAGTGCAAAAATAAAATGGTTTGATAATGTAGAATTATAGATACAAACTTAAAGCATTCACATATCTAAAACATGATTTCAA